CAACATATCGACTAATCATTCCAGCATCCTCAAAACATTCGCAACTGATATTGGATCTGAGGTTCTCGCGGAAATTACTGGGTTGAAACCCCGTGTAGTTCGAAGGCAACTCGAAGTTTCAGGAGAAAATATTGTTCCCATCTTCAAGGTCGAAGAGTGAGCCAAGTAAGCCGATACCGACGGGGTCTGCTTGCTTCGAAGAGTCCTACCTTCTCGGTTATTACGCCGTGTAACTTTGCCACATGCTTTCAGCTCGTCTCGACCCCGAAGATGGAGAAAGGTCGCTTGATTTTTGACGCATCACATGGCGTTATATCCCAGGAGACAGAACCATTCACAACCACCGCTCTGATAACGTCAAATCTTACATTTGCTTGCTTCAATCTTACTGGTTACTCAATTTGGTTATATATAATTGTTTGCTTCGTGCTGTTTCCTTATTTGTCTTGCTCTTATACCCTGAAGATGGAGTCAGTAACAGTCTCCAAAACGTCGAAGAACTTCTATCAGACCGTATAAGGCGTCATAGCCTGAAATATACAAACTTCTCTTAGAAAGAAAGTAAAATCACTCTGCCATTGGCTCCCTCACAGTTCCTACCGGGCTAGAACTGGCCTTATGTCAGGGTTGTTTCTTTCTCGGTTTTCTCTTTGATCCTGAAGATGGAGGCGTTATGCTATTCCGAAACGTAGTGCCGTCTCCGAACTACACTGCGCTGCAACTCAGAAGACCGCGTGATTCATTCGCAATTAACTTCGCCATGAAAACACCTGGTAACCCCAAAACTGGTTAAGAAACATGAACACGGGGGAAATACTGAAGCATTCGCTCCGTTATTGCACTTTGGAGTAAAAATAACTTTTGTATATCTCTAAAACAACAAGACGTTGCGAAATGGTGCACTGGACATAAAATGCTTGCTATATTTTACTGTGCAACTTTCGCTTAAAAAGCTTTTTGTCCAGATAAATGTTTAGCGAGTTCCGAGCGATATGAGTGTAGAAGAGTATGCAGGACTTCACACAAAATATTCGTAATTTTTATCCTATTTTAGTAAAAATTTGATTTCGCCGCCAATTTTTTTGTAAAGCTACCCACTATAAAAATTTATGGAAAAACTGTTCAGTCATTTTCAAGTTCTTACATGCAGACGGACAGTCGTGGATATGCTAACACACGATTTTTTTTTTATTTTTGTTGCGAAAGCTTCCAGAAACGCACTAGGACTTATCACAACGGTAGGCTGCACAAGATCGGATGAGAGCATCTCTGCAACAGAAATATGAGTTACCTCCGAATTAACCGCTCCATTATGATACGTTAAATCCTAAAAGTAAAGTAAAGCTATCCCTGTACCAGTCCATGAAGGCCCATAGGGTTTTGAGACGTTGAGGGTCCCACATTATCTGGACAATCGGCTCAAAGATGGCGGTAAGGTTGTCAGCCTTACGCGCCGACCGCGCTTTACTCCCCAGGAAAATTATTTAATTAATTCCTGGTACTCATTTCTGTTAGAGGCTGATTAAACCCCAGGGCCTAGTGTGGCTGGAAGGAATAGGTCAACTGAAAAAAATCCAATGACCTCATCGGGACTTGAACCCGCGACCTTCCGGCTTGTAGCATAGCCCAACTACGCTACCGCGTACCCCAGGTTAAATCCTAATCAGGATAAACCGTGATCAGGAGGTTTGTCGCCGGCTTCCCACTGCAGCGGCCCTGTTTCGATCTCAGGTCAGGTCATATGAGACTTTTGGGGTTGACAAAGTGGCATTAGTGTGGGTTCTCGCCGAGTACTTCGGTTTCCCCTACCCATTCTCATTCATTAATCATACCTTTTTAAGTTGTCTCTGTGTTTAATTACTTGAACACCAGACCATGAGGCCACAAGGGGAAGTGGAGGTAAAGCTACATCGTTCTTTACCTCGGCACTAGATAGGATATATCAGCTTGACGGCCCGGCCGCTTTATTCCCGGGGAAAGAGACCGCAGTGCCCATTGGACAGGAGGCTGGGTGGGGCCCAAAGCCGGTTTTGACGTCGTGGAATACAGAAAAGTCCCTTTCCTCTGTTGAGAATCGAACCCCGGCCGTTCATTTTACGGACCGAGTTACGTCTTTCATCGAAGCCCTATAGGTTCAATACTGACAGCGGCGTTAGACAAACAACTTAGAGAAAAGTACTTTGCCAGGATGGGCTGGTTTAATAAGGAGACGAATCGAGACACGTACAGGCTCAGAATATTTCCCTCAAACATCCAAAATGCAACATGTGCCAGCAATAAGAGCCGCCACTGGGTCATGTGCGTTAGTAGAACCGCTCAGTGCTACTGGGGAAAGTGGCCAGACGTTGCAGCTCAGGACAAGACCGATACAAGGCATTTTGCGATAGCACATATAGTAACACGTGTTCTGAACTGCGCGTAACAATCTGGGAGGACCCCTAATACCAGGACAAGGTAACTTGATCACTTCCGTGTTAATTTTCCTTCCTCATTACCAGCGCTTATAAACGAGACCACGTAAACAATTCTCAAGGGAAATTAAAATTGCTGTATTCTGAAATGCGACGCCGTGTAATTTGAGTGACAGATACCAAATCACGTGGCGTCACATCTCGAAACACTGTAATAATAACGTTCACAGCTGTGGCAATCTCAAATCTCAATCTTTGAGAAATGAATCATTGTTATCAAAGGAAAATACGCGTATGTTGCACAGAACACAGGCTTGGCCTGATACCTGCTTCTTGCCGATACTTTTTTGGATTACTCTGCGAACATGAAGATAGAGGCATTATGTTCCTCCGAATCGTCAGTGAACTTTTACTGGGCTACAGCATCACACCCCAGAACACAGTGCTCTTCATACATATATGTAAACTGCAGGAAGCAACCGAAACAAACTTCTATATTCGTCTTCCTAATTTCGAGACAACCAACCCCAGTCACAATAAAGATAGACCAAAAACAACTGGAGAATGTGAAATGTTTTAAATATTTGGGTAGCTTGTTAACAGATGATGGAAGGTGTACTAGTGAAATTAAATCCAGGATTGCCATGGCAAAAGCTGCATTTAGCAAGAAGAAGAATCTTTTTACCAGCAAATTGGACTTAAATTTGAGGAAGAAACTAGTGAAATGCTACATTTGGAGCATAGCTCTGTATGGGGCTGAAACATGGACACTTAGGGCAGTAGATCAGAAACATCTGGAAAGTTTTGAAATGTGGTGTTGGAGAAGGGTGGAGAAGATCAGTTGGACCGATTATGTGAGAAATGAAGAAGTGTTAATTAGAGTCAGTGAGCAGAGGAATATCCTACACGAAATAAGAAAACGGAAGGCTAATTGGATTGGTCATGTTTTACGCAGAAACTGCCTTCTAAAAGAAGTTATTGAAGGAAAGATAGAGGGGTGGATAGAAGTGACAAGAAGACGAGGAAGAAGACGTAAGATGATGCTGGATGACCTTGGGGACAGAAGAGGATACTGTCATTTGAAGGAGAAAGCTCTAGATCGCATCAAGTGGAGAAACTGTTTTGGAAGAGACTGTGGACCTGTCGTCTGACAGATTACTGATGATGATGATGAATTATCATGACAAAATAATGGGATATGGCTGCATAATTAGTAAATACTTCATCACATTAAACTGGTGGGTACTAAATCCATCAAAATCAATTCCAAGGAAACTTGGTTTGACGTTTGGGTACCACCTGCAGTTTAAATGTGACTTGGAACGAAACACATTACGAAATCTCAAACTTGCAAGTAAGGTAATCTTATGAAAGTATGTCGATATAAAAAGAGTTCTGTCCTCCGGAATAAAACGCCGTGAAGTCCGTTAAAAGCCACCCGACGTTTCAGAGGAATATGTCGCCTCTAACTTCGGGTTCAAAGGATAAACCAAGCAAAAAACAGCGTGAAAGCAGGTGGCAAGCAGAGCTAGGCCGGTTTCTTTCTTGGCCAACTCTTCAACCTTGAAAATGGAGGCGACATGTTACTCCGAAACGTCGGTTGACTTCCAACGGACTACACAATATTTTATCCCAGGAGATAGGGCTCCTCATAATCCGTGCAACACAGTATGGAGAATCAGAAAAGTGCAGTATCTTATTTTCTGCCCACAGTGGACACAGAACACTCCAGTAATCGGATGACAATGCAGGTACTGTTAGATTACAAATGGGATGTTCTGGAACAGAAAGAGCCCAAATGATTTCAAAACAAACACTCTAAACGCTAAATTATGGATCCCTACAAATAGACTCAAAACCAAAATTCAAGCAAAGGATATGAAAATTTTGAGGGCTACTGGGTGAGGGGGGGGGGAAGCATTAGAAATTAAACTTTTGGAGAAGGAATCGAAATCTAAAATTTGTTACCACAATTACACTGATTTTTACATGCAAAATAATGGATACATAACGATAATGAGAAGGGCATTAGAATTAAAATTTGAAGGAGAAGCTTATGGTACAACCCACAGAACAAGATGGTTCAGCCAGGCACTAGACAACATCAAGTAGTACAAACTGGTTAGAAACTGAAAAGGAAAAATTGAGGGAAGAAAGCAGAAATTGGAAACTTTTTGCCCATCAACCTATGTAAAATGGAAATGATGCTGAAAGAAGAATCAGAAGGTAAAAAAAGAGGAAAAGTGAGAAGAGATGGATTAAAAAGGAGAAGGTAATGATGATGAAGAAGAAGGTGAAGAACAAGATGAGGAAGGAGGTAGAGGATGAGGAGTCATGGAAGAAGAGGTTAGGAAGAAGGGGTTGAATAGGAGGAAGAAAAAGAGAGTAGCAGAACAAGGAGGAACAAAGGGAGGGGGAGAGAAAGAAAAAGGAGATGCAGGAAGAGATGAAAATAAGAGGAGAAAATGGGAATGAGGGGGAGGAGGAGGAGAAGAAGAGGACCCAATCTAAGTTTAACATTGAGACTGTACATGACATGAACTCCCCATTATGTAATAATTTTATATTATTTTCACAAAAAATCTGTACACCAGCTTGCCTTCAATAATCTTACTGTAAAAGAGAAACATGAAACCGACCCAAGACTATGCACTACATGTACATGGTCAGACAAAGCTACACTGCCATAGTAACATCCAGACACAACATTGGAAAGTGTTGCAGACATGTGCCACTCTAGCACTAAGATAATGGGAGCAAGGTAAGGCATGTGGAAACCTCTTGATAGGAGGGAAATGTGATTTGAGAATTCACAGGAATTGACATTGCAGGGTGGGGGATTCAATGTAAGTATAAAAGAGAGTACATCTGTGTCTGCAGCATCAGCAAGACAACAGCACAGCTCCAAGTCTCACGCAAGTCTCATCATGAAGGTTCTGGTGAGTCTTCTGTCTCTGTCACATCAGCAACATAGTCAAAGTTCAGAAATTGGCAGAAAAATTTTCATATGTATCCTAGGTTCTAAACTCATTGCCTTAGCAGTTGTATGATGTTTACATATTCTTTATTTAAGGAAAATAAATCCTGAATCCTGTATATTTCCCTAGTGCCATCTAGAACCTCAAAAAGTACTGAAAATTACAGACACAGAATTATTCTAACAGTCAATATATATCCCTTTTCTTCTGGTTACTTCTGATGGAAACAGTTGCCATAGGACATCCTAGATATTATCGTAGGGACATACATAGTGGTTAAGTTCAAATACTATATAGTATCTATTATGTAGAAGAACTACAGTTTGCACCTCACAGGAAACACATTATGTCTGTGCTACAGAGCCCAACCAGTTAGTGCTGTTTATTGTGAGTTAAGATCTGTATTCTCTTAAATAGATCTCTACAGGAATTACGGGATTTGACACCCATCAGGATTCTAACAATTTTCTTTTGCAATGTAAATACCTTTTTACTGTCAGATGAATTACCCCAGAAAATTATTCCATACTTCATTAAAGAGTTAAAATAAGCAAAATAGATTGATTTGAGAGTGTCACTGTAACATTAACATGTAACATGAATCTAACTGCATAACAGGCTCTACTTAACTTTGGAATCAACTGATCGATATGGTTTTTCCAGTTTAAACGATTTGCAAGCCAAGGAATTTTGATTTTACTCCCTCTTCTATATTTTTATCATTATATCCTATGTTTAATGGATATTGTGGTGAGTTTTTTGTTATAAATTTTATTGCATTTGTTTTTTCTAGGCTCAGGGATAGCTTGTTTGCAGAAAACCATTTACTCATTTATGAAAGAACCTTGCTTGATAACATGCAGAAATCATCTAAATTTTTACCAGAAATTATAACACTAGTGTCATCTGCAAATATTATAGGTATTGACGAGGTCCTTACTGTAGGAGGGAGGTTGTTTATATAAATTACAAAAAGCAAAGGCCCAAAAATTGACCCCTGTGGAACTCTACTAATCCTCAGTTTCTGAGGTTGTGTCCAGAAGGCGGTGTTCATACTCTGACTGAGAACGTTTGATCCACAATATTCTAATATATTTAGAAGGCGGTGGCTCTGGTTACTCTGACTAATGCGTCTGTTACCTCCATCACTTCCCACTAATGCCAAACCATTACCATTACTTAATTTCTTCTCAAGTCAGCACTGATCATCCGCCCTGCGTCCCAGTGTTATGCAATCTGCTTATTTAGTTTCATTTTGGAGATATTGGGTTTTTGGACTTTATCCATCGTCCTGGTTTTAAGATAACTAAGAAAAACACAACGTTTTGGAAACTGGATCTGTTTCCGTCCTCAGGTGAGGGAAAACACCCATTCTGTTGGGTCCCTTAGCAAGAACTAGCCTCAATCACTGGACCTGAAACGTTGTGTTTTTCTTAGTTATCTTAAAACTAGGACGATGGATAAGGTGAGAAAACCCAATATCTCTGTGTGTTATACACCATCATCAGAATCCTATAGTAACTAGTTTCATTTTGTTCATTAAGTTATGTGGGTTTAGTACAACACGGACCTTCCACATAACACTAGCTTTCTTGCATGATGGGCTCCCTGTCTTTCTCAGTTCTATGTTACTGTAACACTTCTTTCAACATATTTTCCTTACAATACACACCACATTCATTCTAACAAGAAAACTGCCTATTTTGCTTCCTTATCTCTCTCATTATCATCTTCTCTAAAATGCATTTCAGAATCTTTAAATAAGAACTATTATTACAGTTAATAATTTCCAGATAATAATATCTTTACAATAAATTAACCCCTTCTTAATTATAATATTTGTCCTTCAACATTCGGTCCCAATTTTTACTAACATCACCATATATCACACCAGTCTGCAACATTCACCAGTATCAGCACATGTGTGTTATCTCCATAAGCAAGATGTTATCCTAGTCCTCCAGCCATATACAATCCAGGTTACAATCTCATAAAACATTTAATTTACATTTCCTTCCCTATCTATACATTCTCTAATCTAGAAAACAGAAATTAACAGCTGTGAGGATTCGTTGCGCTGACCACGCGACACCCTATATCCGCTAAAGCAGGCACTAACTTTGCTGACAAGTGGCGGTCACTCGGTTGGTATAGTTCACTTGTAGATTCATACAGTTCACAGGATTTTACTGCAACCCATGCTAAGAAAAATGCAGGATAATAATTTTTGACATAGTTTTCACAAAAACTGAAACACCTATAACATCATGGAACACATCTTTCTCCTCTCTGCCAGCATAAGTCTGTGTCCCTTCCACTCAGTTTAATACCAATCAAGAGGGAGGACTCATACCCACAACAAACACTAAATGGTGCATCTACTGACATAGTGTTTCCGGCAATGATCAATAAATCCCTTCAAAATACCCACAATAAATTAACTTTCTGACTCCCCACTGTAACTATCAACGGTGATTTTAATTAAAACTGTTTTAGGAAAGTCGGAGTTTGAGTCCCAGTAGGGTCAAAAATCTTTCTTCTCTTCTCCAAATTATCCAAACTGGCTCTGGGGCCCACCCAGCCTCCTATCCAATGGGTACCAGGGGCTCTTTCCCAGGCAGTAAAGAGGATGAGGTGTGAAGCTGACCACTTACCTCCAACTCAAAGATAACAGACAATGTTCAAAATATTAGTAATATTTACTGTTACTGTTCCCTAAAGTAAGTAAAGCTATCCTTGAAACAGGCCCTAGAGACCCATAGGGATGTAAGATGTTGAGGTTCTCATATTTTATAGACAATTGAATCACAGATGGTGGTGAGGTCATCAGCCTTACATGCTGGTTACCCTTTACCCCCAGAAATATTCCTGTTACTCATTTCGCTAGAGGCTGAGTCAACCCCAGGGTCACAGTGTGGCTGGAAGGATAAAGTCAATTGAAAAACTCAATGACCTCAGTGGAAATTGAAACTGCAACCTTCCGGCTTGTAGCATAGTGCCTCAACCATATGCTAAACAATCTCTGCAGTTCATATGGTGTCACCGAATATGATAAATAATCATTTTCATCACGTTACATGCAAATGCAGAAGACAAACTTGCTAACAGAAAGTTGCTTATGGAAGATCTGAAACAGGGCTGTCTTTCAGGTGACTGTCACTATCCTGGCTGTGACTGCAGTGCTTGCATCCGAGGAGACTGCGTCCACCAAGCAGAAGCGTGGGGTACTGGGTCTTGGATATGGCTATGACTATGGCCTAAATGCTGCCTCTAGCCTCCCTCTGTCTTATGCTGCGCCACTTGCATACTCTGCACCAATTGCTTCTTATCATGCACCCCTCTCTCTCCCTTCTCTGCCAATTGCCAAGGTTGCCTACGCTGCTCCCATAGCCAAACTTGCATACACAGCGCCAATAGCAAAGGTGGCATATACAGCTCCTGTTGCCTACGCCAAATATGCAGCCCCACTGCCTTACTGGTAATGAGAGTAAAGTGAATTACTCCATGAAAAGAAAGAACATCAAATATGATTTTTAAGGCCTCATAGCTCTCTGTAACTGTTATCTTGTACCATAATATTTAAAAAAACTGACAATACATGAGAATTCTTCTTGAAGTTAAAATCTTAATTGGAAATTAGTTCAAATCCTCAACTAAAATACTGTGATTATAGTTCAACAATGAAAATTTTAGTTCTTATTATTCTGCAGTGAGGTCAGACAGAGCACCTTGCTACCAATGTGGGACCACTGTGAGAATTACAGTTGCAGAGAGCTGTTATACTGACTGAACTGGATTGTCTAAAGCTGTGGTAATTCAGGAAATAAGCAGGGGTAATTAATGGTTTGAGTGTCCTGTGGACAATTATTTGTATCATCATAAATCATCAATTTAACATTCATACTATGAAAATATCTTGGCTTTGTATATTGCTCTATCAATGCAATAGAACATAATTAGTACAAAAACTAAGGTGAATCAAAATGACTTGATAGCTTGACTTTGATTCTTTGCAAAATTATGAAAAGAAGAGAGGGAAACTATTTTAGTATCTACTTTGTAATTATCAATGTATTTATAACGATGAACTTATAATAGATTAAAAAATTTTAAAACACTGAAACTAGTCATATTATTTTCAAAACATCAGCATCTATTTCCTCCTACCATTGTGAAGATATAGTCCAGAAGGAAGTGTCATCAAGTCTCAACTCAGAATTGAAACTCAGACATCATACAGGTAAAGATGTACACCCCTGACTATGAACTGTCATGAAGGGATACAGATGGGCATTAACATATAAGTTCCATGGATCCTTAACCTCAACGTGATGAAAATGAGTGGTCAACATATTACACCAAATACTGCATTATAATTATTGTTAGTAGTGTATAACCCACCACAGATGATGGACAAAACAACTTTTTCTTCCTTTCCTTTGTCCCTTTGTATAATTATCTTCTCCACTGCTTTCTCCCATTTGCTTTCCTATCTTGCCTGTCATACCCTCATTCCTCTACCCCTTCCTTTACATTAAAACAATTCCATCACCTCCATTTTTGTCTCTTTTATACCTTTATCTCTTTCCCTCATTTTTTGCTATTGATCTGTCTGTTCAGTTGTCACTCCTCTCCCCCAGACTTCTGCAACAGCAGAAAACAGTTTATACTTTCCCCATATTCTAGAATTGGTGAACTAGATTCTGAGCATAACAGGAATTGAGTATGATTTATATGCAGATAGTTCTTACTAGCTAGAACCTTTTATTTTCTTTTTATGATAAAATTTAATTATAATCTAATCCATTTCTTATGAAGCTTGACCTTCACAAGCAAATATGTATCAATCACACCAGGGCAGAGGTTCTCAACCGTTGTGAGACCGTGGCCTGGTAAATTATTTTTTATAAGACGAGGGCCCGGTAGCTGAGAAGCACTGAACTAGGGGTTTGGCGGTAACCTTCAATCAAAGCCCTCAGCTGTTGCTCATGTTTCTGTCCTGGGCAATTTAGTGCAGAGCAGTGTTATCATGCTTTGTTTATCCAAGGAAAATGAGTGGTTTCAAAAGTGCTAACCATGTGGTACATAAGCAAGGTAGGAGAAAATATACAGTGTATGACAGTGATGTAGAGGACAAATATGAGGACAAAAAAGAAGAGCTGGCTCAACCTTTGTCTGATTTCTAAGGTCACTTGACAACCCCCGTTGGTTCAGTTCTGTGCCAGGTGGCCTGACTGGAACCGACCCACCTCACATCCCCCCCCCCTGTTGTGTTGAGTTCCTCTCATTGGTTCTCACCCAAGCCGCATAAGCTACAGACTACACAAATGAAAGATTTAATGATAGGGGGACAGATAATTATGTCAGCAGAACATATAATTTTATGTAATGAAAAGGGGTTGTGTTTCATGTACTTACAATCTAATTAACAGTCCAACACTGAAAAAATATAAAATATACATTTCAAGAAGTTCTTCTAAATAAGCATTTTCTATTAAATTAACACTGGCTGAAAACAGAGAGAAAATGGTCTGCAGTTCCACCTACCAGCAGAATTAGAACTATCTGCAACCAGTGAGTGTATTCCTCCAATGACACATGTGTTACTACAATCTCACACAGCATCATGACAGTTTTATATTATAGATAGAAATGGGCTGAATGCTCCATTTGGTTCTTCTATATCTACAATCCACTGTGATGTTGGAGAGTGTGAATTACTGGACAAAGTCATTAAATTCTATGGCATGCAGTAAAGTTTCCAGGAATACAGAAGCAAACATAACTCACACTGAGTCTCGCACCCATGTCTTGGCAGTGATGTTCCAGGCTTGAGAAGCAATTCACAATCTTCTGGTGCCCTTGAAACATCTGCAAAATGAATGAAATGTGCATTATTGAATTCTTAAAAAAGAAAAAAGAAAAAAAAAAAAACAAAAACAAAAAACCTTCTATTAAATTTCCATTGATGATGGATATTTTCCACTATCTCATGTTGGTTAAAAAAAATGAAATGTTTTGGAACCTGGAGACAGAGATTGGCATCACCTTATGCTGTGGTATCCAAACTCATTTATTCTGGGCCTACATTAATGTAAATAAAAATGTTTGAGGCCACCAAATCTGTACAAAGGATTTAAAATTTTATTTACTGATTTTGAAAGGAAATTACTAATGAACATTAATACTATATACAAAGTACTTTTTCTATCATTTACATGACTTTCAATTCAATGTGGTTTTCTGAGATTACATTGATTTGGCAACTCTTGTTATCTGATCATTTCTCAGAGGACACAAGAAAAATCTTAACGCCTCCCACTTTAAAAAATATTAATTTAATGGACCCAACACCTGATGACAAAAGTAAACCCAGTTTCAGAAATATTGCGTTCATTTAACCTAGCCAAGATAATCAAAAATTTAAAGTACATGTATCAAATTATAAATCACTCCGTCCAATGTGACCTGTAAATTTTTTACTACGTAAAAACAATATCTGCCCCATATGAGAGAGACGATGGGAGGACGAACACGAGCCTGCATGGTTTACGAATTTTAATCATTGACAATCTAAAAAACTTTTAAATAAAACTTAATTAGCATCAAGGAATCTTATACGTTTTTAAAACTTACATTCCCAGGAAACTGCTGTGTTTGTGAAACGTTCTATTCTGTGTACTGTGTGTTGTAACATATAAGTGTACATACGTTGCGTGTAAACAAATTATGTGATAGTGGTTTCCTATTTGTAGTGATGTTTGCCCTCTGAAGATGGTCCACAGAGACCGAAACATGTAAGGGTGTTAAGTTTTTACGTAGTAAAAAACTTACAGGTCACATTGGACGGAGTGATTTATAATTTGTAATTGTCATTGTGACGGACCAGAATGAAACAAATCAAATACATGTATCATTTTATAAACACCTTCATCGGAAACCTTTAGACGTATCTTATAATTAATGTTATTAGGATGAAGTGAAATAAATAAAACTTTAAGGTATATTAACTGCGTCAAAAACTTCATTTTGTAAGCTCATGATCCCTTAAGCATGTTTCTCTTGTAAAAGAAAAATTGGCTAAAATTTGGACAGATAGAAAAGGAGTGAAGAATTATGCAGCTTCTACTAGCAGGTACTGTACTTAATCCCACTCAGAAATTTTCAATAAGTAGTACAAACCTTTGTATCTATCCATTCAGTCATCTGTGTAGTCTTATTATCTTCCAATTCATTGAACTCAAAACAATTGCCACATGATTTGAAAGCTTTATAATGTTTATCACATAACCTCCATCCTCTGTGCTGGGACCAGCATTTGTCACTATTTTTTTCAAACTCTATACTCAATGGTGAACATCCACAACTCTGTGTCTGCAGGCCCACATTTTGAATTTCTTGTTCAAAATCTGTCTGTATGGCACTGTCTTTGAGGATACAAGTTTGCATTCCTGTGTCTGTATCTTCACTCTGGTCAAAAGACATCTGCATTGCCATATGTACTGATGAGTTCAAATAGGGTGAAAATGTCTGAGCTACCATATCTACTGATGACGGGACACAAGTTTGTGTTGAGCTAGACATTTCTGATGGTAATGATGTCTGGGTTGATACATCATGCAAATCAGGACGTTCACTGAAATGCACTTTGCTTGAATAATGTTCAAGCAACTGGTCACAAGCACTGAGATTATTGTTTGTTTCCTGGATTAAAAAAAAAATGTAGTTACCAAAGTGTTGAACACACTAATGCAGTAAGAGAGATTTATATACATGGTAGAGTCATTAAGTTCATGGAATGTGGTTTTATCGCATCATATTACAAGGTATTCATATACACTTACGCAGATCCACATCGGCCCTCAAAATAGTTGCCGTTGGCCGCTATGCAAGTCTGCGAACGTTGATATAGCTGTCGAAAACATTGCTGAAACATACTGGCAGTAAATTCCTGTACGATGCTGTGCGGCCATTCCACGAACTTATTGACTGTGGTAATATATTGGCCACATGATGTTCCATGAAAAAAACATTGCCCTGTGCTTAATTAATTAAGTACTATGCCAACACATGGAGGAGTGGAGGTATAGCTCCACCATTTTTGACCATGAAACTAGATGGAGGTAAATGGTCAGCTTTGTGCACCGGTTTATTTAGCCCTGCAGAAAGAGTCCCTGGTACCCATTTGATAGGGGGCTGGGTAGGACCCAGAGCTGGACTGGATTCTGTGGAGAGGAGTAAATTCTTACCCCTGCCAGGATTCGAACCCTGGCCATCCACCCTGTAGCCCACTGGTATACTGACTGAGCTATCCCAACTCTCTGAAGTTCCATAAAGCTTGATGAAATCCTCTCAGGTTACTGCTGTGTTCAACTTTTGTTCCAAAATGAAATGGCTGGTTGATGGAGAAGGTTTCATAAATTTTTAGTTACCATGAGGACTTCCAAGTCTTCCATACAACTTACATAAAGCATTTAATAGGCATGCACGATGATGATGACTGAAGGCAGATCACATAAAAATGTATGGGTGAATCATATACAATGGAAAAGGATAAGATGATAAATAGACAGGCTAAAAGGAGGGTGATAACTGGGAACCATGGGTGACATAGGGGAGATAGAGCCTGGTCTAGGCCATTGGGAAAAGTGAACAGGAAATCTGAGAAAAGATCAACCATTTTTAGGGACTAGATTCATCTTAGGACAGATATGGAACCACAGTAAGTGGACCCTTTTTAAGGTAAACGTAGACAGTTCCTACAGACTACATGGCAACACATCCCATGAAACATTAATCTTCAAATTAATAGATGATAACAATCTGATACTCACCTCCAGAACCTGCCATATATGATTTATTTTCCTTTCCATGAAAGCTTCATTCAAAGACACATGCACCCCATAAAGTGGGGCAGTAAAACTGGACAGTCCATCGGGTAAGACTGACATAATTCACGATGAACGAAGTTACGTTGGATAGTAATTAAACGATGTGAACTTCCTGGTCATCAGTTAATATCTGAAATAACAGTATAAGTAAATACATGGAATGGGTTCATTACACATACACAAACGTATGTTCTCATTCAGTAGACCCTATAAAGCACACAACTTATTTCTCAAAGCTTTTGTTTTAATCCTTCAGAGTGAATTTCTTTACATGCTCTAATGTACAAGATCTGAGAACCTCACACTGGTGAATGTGAAGCTTCTGATTTCAGAGGAATATGTTGTAACCGTCTTCAGTGAATTGAAGTAGGAGGCAACAGGTTCCTCCTAAACTTTGGTATGCATCTACCAAACTACAAAAGTACATCCTAGAAAACTATAATCTTGATTTATTGTGTTTATACCCACTTTCTTATGGTACATTCAATCAGGATATTAATTTGGACTTAATCCCAATCGTCTAGTGTATGGCCAGTCACACTAACAACTACTCTCTGCTCGTAAGTTGATTCAGTGGCATATGCTGAAAACTGCTTTCCCAAAGTTCTAAGTTGGTTTGTATTTAGAGTAGTAACTACACAAATGGTTCTAATATAATGAGATATACTTGATATTTCATGTATGTAAGTTAAGATAAAAGATGCTTAACTTCCTCCTTCTGTAGGAAGCTAAGTGCTGGGTCAGAGATGAAGCCCCAAACTTAAAAGAGTGAGGATGTGATAATGTGCTGCCTGGTTAGGGCTGTTTAACTGGAGACAAACAAATATGAAGGTACTGTGAAATGATGAATAGCAAGGGAAAGCTGAAGAAATTTGGAGAAAAATGTTCTGAAGTGCCAATTATCCAACACAAATCAACTCATGTGGGACTGAAACTGGATTTCTGTGGTGAGAAACCAGCATCTAATTATTTGGGCTATGGCAAAACCCAAATTTAAGATAAGAGAAATAAAAAATATAAAAAACATGGAATGGTTCAGTCATAAAGGCTGCACAGTTTAAGATGTACATGGTCTTAGTTCCAGTCTACCCTAAACTCGGGGCATAGATGTTTGTGTGTAATTTCACTGTGATACAGCTCAGGCAATTAAGCAACTAGTTTCTCACTGTGAGGGCCCAGGTTCAAGACTGGTTATTTCCATACGAGATTCATCGTAGACAGAGTGGCAGTGCAACAGGTTTAATCTGCTAATCTCCAATCTGCAATTGCTCCATACTATAACTGCCCCGTTAGATATTTTGACAGTGCTGACAAGGTGGCCCACTATCACATCTCTGGTCTTTTAAGTTTGGGGGCTTCATCTCTGGCCTGGCACTTAACTGGTTACAACGAGAAAGTGATGAGTTATCTGCTGTACAATCCTGTTCACTGTCATCAGTTTTATAGTTCTGTCCCCAATGGCATAACATTAATGGTTAATAACTGAATCCAGCAACTGAAATAAGATATTCTCAGCATTGCTTTTACAATTCAATTTCCATATTAAAATTTACACATTATAAAATGGTACTTTACTTAAATTCAGAGTATATGTTTCACCATTAATGACCAGTGTTCATATTTCTTGCTTTGTTCTTCAATTGCAGATGGAACCACAGTAACAGAATTGTTTTCTCATCTGAGGCTGATTATTTGGTTTCTGAACAATTTAGTTTTTATGGTGTGAGGTTGTTAGCCTCATGCCCAACCCCCAACCTGGAGAACCAGGCTATCCTTCTTCTTCTGGCTCCTACCCCTTGACCTGTCTGGCATGGGTGACCCTATCAGTAACTATGCTACTGCCACCATGGCTCTCAGGGTCTTAGGAGCACTCAAACCCCACCACTACAATAAGGTGGAGACACCATTGGCAGGGAATTCATTTAAACAATATTAAAAAATATAGTTCATACCTTACAGAAAACAGTGTCCCCATTACAAAGATCAGTTGGTTAATGCTGTTTATGGAAATAGGTTAATGCTGTTTATGGAGATAATCTGTTTATTCTGCGAATCATGCAGAACCATAAATATAGTCTGTGTCAAAAATGCAGTTTTTCATGTTATAGCAGGTGGTAAATACAGCAACCACCATGAATTAAGGAGTAAACCAACCTAAGAAAACCTGAACGCATCTCTGAGATTCAACACATTATCACAAATGAAAGATTAAAAACAGACACAATTAAATCCATGTAACAAATACAAACTATCTTCATTTCATTAAATAAATGAAGAAATTTAGTTTGTCCATACAAGGAGTTCTACAAAAAACTGAACAGTATAATAACCTAGGTTGTTCTAACCCCCAAGACTGTACTCTTCAGGTTCACCACTGTGATGAACTCGAATTCAATATAAGTATTTTTTCAGATTTAATTCAAAACAGAACAAGCCAAATGTTGTAAGCTGAGAAAGAAAACAATTTTGTAACACTGGAGAAGTCAAGTAGGCATATTAACAATAGGAATTAATGTGGAAAAATTCAACTTCTAAGTTTAACTTTACTTATGCCCAGAAATGATAACCAAATTGTGCTGTGCACTTACTACCACATTTTCTGCATTCATTAAGAATGTGGTCATTTGGGTTTACATCACATAATTCTGTGGCCTAATACCGAAGTTTCGGAGAAATATACTGCCCCTAACATCAGGGTTGAGGTGTAGAGCTTCTGGAAGAGGCTGAAGATGGAGATGCTATTTTCCTCTACAACACTGGTATCCTACCATAAAACTATACGCTGTCACAACCCATAAGACCACAATCTTGCTATTCATCGCCTGAGAACGTCAAAACTTATTTCTATTCGTATATTCACATTTCAAACCGGGGAAAGGGTTACATTGCTCTACACACATCTTGACAGACTGGATGCGTGGAATCTTTTCACGATGTCTTTGTACTTCATTGCCAAAGTAAGCGGAACCAGTGTTTTCTCGTAACACATATAAACGTTTACAGAAATGACAGTAACTACGTATGTATCGTCCTACAGCGTATCATGTTAATTAAACGTAATCTATACGTCATTAAGCACATCCCGCACATCAATGTAATTTCATACTTCCATTCTCCACGACCCCTACCAAAATCTATCAGTGCAATGTGTTTAGGAAAAATTCTTGGTTGTGAACCTTCTGAACCATATGATGAAGCACTATTTCTGCAAGCGTATCGTAATAGCAAAATCTTAAATCTAAACTTTTAATTTTGGCAAATCCCAGTTGTACTAATGGCATTCGTATAGTACTATGAAATGCAAGATATAATATGAAACTACTTGCGTGTCAGTTCTGATGATTAAAATTACTCCAAAACTACAGCATTCAATCACAAATATGATACTTTACTTTATAATATAAATACAGAAAATTCCGTACTTCATCGGTCCCATGGTGTAATGGTTAGCACTCTGGACTTTGAATCCAGCGATCCGAGTTCAAATCTCGGTGGGACCTTCTACTTTTTTTAATTATTTCATTTTTAATTTTCACACAGCTATTTGCGTTTACAAAAACAAAAATGTTTTGCCACAAAAAAATATATAAAGTTAACGGGGAGGAAGGTATGAAAAATTCAATACGGCCAAATATCCACAAAACGTAATATACGTATGATTGCAAGAACGCAGCTTGTAACCTCGCATTCCCCAGTGGCGCAATTGGTTAGCGCACGGTACTTATATGACAGTATCCGAGAAATGCCGGGGTTGTGAGTTCGAGCCTCACCTGGGGAACTATTTTATTTCATCCATTATTTGTCTTACTGTGATCAATTCCAAAGCAGCTTAAAAATTAACGTCACTTACAGATAGCAACGGACACATTATACAGAAAATGTTGAGCTCGTCTGAAGTAACTAATACATTAACTACGAAAAACAGAAACACCACCAAACGCTTGTTACTTCTCAGTACGTAAACAACGCCCTTGCTCCCCTTGTTTTAACGCAATTACGGTCTCTCCCCCACCTCCTCAAAAGTTTGTGACAGTGACCTAATATCAGGTTTGCACCCCAATTTTCTATACCGGACACACGTCTTTCGTATGGGAACCGACGCGACCCTACATTACTTTCGGTGACGTTTTGTTGGTCATCCTGCATGAAAACAGCTGTTTAGTCGAAAACAAAACAATGTAAATACGGACGGTAGTGGTAGTGTGCTTGCGCTGTGCATTTCTTTTACTTTTAGTTTTATTTAATCTAAAAAGATGGTTAATTATTGCTGTGCAATTAATTGTCGAAACAGTAAAACCAACAGACCTGACTTGAAGTTTTTTCGGTTTCCATTTAATAATTCGGAAAGGTCTGTAAAGTTCATGTGTACGCCTAACCTTAAAGCAACTCATTGTTTGCTCTACGGCAGGCATGTCCAACTTCAAACAGGTTGTGATCGACTTTTTAGTGTCAAAACTGCCAGTGATCTACCACCCCCTCCTATCATCGTACCTCGCTTTGAACAAAAATATTGGTAAAAATAACACGACACATGATGTTTGTTGTAAAAGCAACAAACATTGAAAGTACAGACTACTTTAACACGTATCTTCCCTTCAAAATCTGAATATAATAATATTATATTACAAGTGAATTTACATGCTTTTCACGTATAATTTCCTTATATGCCTATGAGATCGATAAAAAATCGTCCCGTGATTGACCAGTCGATCGCGATCGACGTATTTGGACATGCCTGCTCTACGGTAAAGCAAAAAAAAAGTAAAGGTAATCCTGTAGCAGGCCGTGGAGGCCCATAGAGTTGTGAGATGTTGAGTTTCCCACATTTTCTAGACAATCGGCTCACAGATGGCGGTAAGGTCACCCCTACGGGCTGGCCGCCCTTGACCCCCAAGAATATTCCTGGTACAAATTTCTGTTAGAGGCTGAGTCGACTCCAGGGCCATAGTGCGGCTGGAAGGTTTAGGTCAATTGAAAAGAAAATCCAATGACCTCATCGGGACTTGAACCTTTGACCTTCCGGCTTGTAACATAGTGCCTCAACCAACTACGCTACTGCATGCACCCTTGCTCTATGGTAACAGAGGCAATATTTATAGCATTCATTTCACTATGCTAATTAATTGAGCAATTGTCCCTAATATTGGCCTCTTTTCAGATCATGGGAATGGATTGTGAACTTAGGAAGAGTGGATCTCTTGAGCAAAGATGTGTACGAATTATATACATCATATATCGTTTGTGCAGAGCATTTTGAAAGACATTACTTTTTGAATGAACGGAGAAGAAAACTTGGGTATAATGCTGTGCCAACCATATTTAATCATTACTCACATGATGTGGATGTTTCATTCATACTGGAAAGTTTAAACAGGTATTCATATTCAAAGTGAAGATTTCATTTTTGTGATGGTAAGAATGATCATTATGCTCACCATAAACAGATAATTTGAGATTTCAGAATCCCTACCCCCTGGATTGTAGCACTGTAGGTACATATTAAGTAGATCAGAATATTTGACATCAAATTTTGATTTTAGTGCTTTGGCTTTTAAGAGTGGAGCTTAATGTGTGACTTGGGTTCTCAGCAAGGTCACATCAAACACTGAATGTTTACCTTTTTAGAAGACCTTGCACTTGCCAACTTCAGAGTTGACTATGGAAGTGGTTTTGCTTTGTGTATTGTTCCCACAACTGCCAAGCTTGCCAAAATGTTTGAAAACTGTAAAGATTTGATGCAGCCTAGTCCATGAAAGCCAAAGCCATACAGACTTTTGAGTGCTGTTAAACAAGATATAAGGAACAACTGCTGTTTAATAGAGGAAACCAACAAAATTCTGTTAGTTAATTAACAGTATCCATGCATATCTTAAAGTAGTAAAGAGTGAAGGCTATGTTAACTGACCTCAGGCAAGTGTGCATGTGTTTCATAAGCGTAAATAATTATTAATCAATATGATTTGCACAGAAAGTAGCCAACAATTGTCATCTGCATTGCAGTTCACGATGGAGATACCATCTGTGGAGGAATAATATATTCATAATATTCTTAATGCATTGGCCTACCTTTAAGAAGGGCAGGACCACTAGTTTTGTGGAGACCCATGACAATCTTAAGAATTTGTATGTCCATACATAATTATATCTCACAGCCTCATTGCACCCGCTGCTAACCTTGACTCCAGAATGTTGCTACTTAGTACTGTACACACAAAATAAGAGCAGTAACAGAACTTTGAAGCTAATTATGCAAACTTAAGATCTAGACACAGTTCTAAACTACTTTCATGCCACCTTCTTATAATAATTTGTCTTTTTTTAAAGTTATTTCTTTATGATTGAAAGTAAGATGACATGTTCACAAAATTAATGATATTTACAGTTACATTTGGGATACCTAAAGGCAGAAGGGGGCCCTCTGAGGCTCAGTGTCCAGGCATGTTTGAACCCTCATGCACTGTAGTACATAAGCTCCTGGACAAGATACTGCACTGTTCAGCTGTTTGTAGAAAATGTGAAATGCATGTCTCTTATTTCAGGATTCAGAACAAGGCTGCATCAGTAGTTGAGTGTCAGGAACAAATACCAGAACCAGTACAGTGCAGCCAACAGTCTTCAAAGGAAACCACATCTCTTGCTGCTAGCTCACAGTGTACTGCACCTAAGTCATACAAATGCCAGCAATGTAATGAGATATTTCTCAGTGTCCATCAGTTGTTTTCACATGAGCTCAGAGATCATGAACATGTTGGAATATCACAAATTGGCCATAATAAGAAGCCATTACCAAAGTATAATCAGCATGAGAAAGTTTCCAGTCCCAAAAATGATGTGCATGAGTCCAAGACACATGATACAAATCCACGGACAGAAGCTTGTGACACAAACAATTCACAACAGCAAGAAGAGGATCTACAAATAGATGCTTCCAATATTGGAATTCAAACTCCTAGCAAGGAAGGAAAAGTACAGAGTCAAGATGGGACTCAGCAAACACACACTTCCAACATAGAAGGAAAATTACAGAGGCAAGATGGGAATCAACAAACACACACTTCCAACATGGAGGGAAAATCACAAAAGCAGGATGGGAATCAACAAATACACACTTCCAACACAGAAGGAAAATCATGTAAGCAAGATGGGAATCAACATACACTCACTTCCAACATAGAAGGAAAGTCACAGAAACAAGATGGGAATCGACAAACAGACACTTCCAGCATGAAGGGAAGGTCACAGAAGCAAGATGGGAATCAACAAATACACACTTCTAACATGGAAGGAAAGTCACAGAAGCAAGATGGGAATCAATACACACACACTTCCAACATAGAAGGAAAGTCACAGAAGCAAGATGGGAATCAACAAACACACACTTCCAACATGGAGGGAAATTCACAGAAGCAAGATGGGAATCAACAGACACACACTTCCAACATGGAGGGAAAGTCACAGAAGCAAGATGGGAATCAACACACACACACTTCTAACATGGAGGGAAAGTCACAGAAGCAAGATGGGATTCTACACACACACACTTCCAACGTGGAAAGAAAATCACAGAGGGAAGTTGGGAATGAACAGACACACACTTCCAACATGGAGGGAAAGTTACAGAAGCAAGATGGGAATCAACAGACACACACTTCCGACATGGAGGGAAAGTCACAGAAGCAAGATGGGAACCAACAAACACACACTTGCAGCATGGAAAGAAAATCACAGAGGCAAGGTGGGAATCAACAAACATACACTTCCAACATGGATGGAAAGTCGCAGAAGCAAGATGGGAATCAACACACACACACTTCTAACATGGAGGGAAAGTCACAGAAGCAAGATGGGATTCAACACACACACACTTCCAACGTGGAAAGAAAATCACAGAGGCAAGTTGGGAATGAACAGACACATACTTCCAGCACAGAAGGAATCGAATGTGACCAGAACGCATGTCTTCAATATGAAGAGCCGTTTATTTCAGATAACCAGAATTCTAAAAGTGAACTTCAATACAATGACAAAGAGAATGCATTCTTACAGCAAGGGAAGGGTCATTTTGAATCCAGCTTCTCAGGGGAAGAAACTCCATCTGAAGTAGTGGACTTAGCTGAACCAATGACATCATCTGAAAGTGAAGTGATACCTCTACCATATAAGTGCTTTACTTGTGAGGAAAGATTTCAGACAAGATGCCAGCTGTTTTATCATGATCTTGAAGTCCATGTTGGAATTACAAAACCAGCAACTTTGAAGTCCAGGGACATATCACTGAATAGTCCTCAAAAGAATTTAAAAGAGAAAATAACTTTGAGTGAGGGTGGTGCGAAGAGAATAGCAGAGAATACCCTTGAAGAACAGCAACCAATGAAAAAAGGGGGAGTGAAGAGAATAGCAGAGAATATTCTTGAAGAACTTCAGCCAATGAAAGTAATAATCACAGAGAAAGAGAATACTGGAGAGAAAGTAAATGAGAAACAAGAAAAATCTGAATCAAGGCAAGTGTCGTTCAAGAAAGCAGGTGCCGGAAATAAGTCTGCTCAGAAATACATTGTGAAACAGAATATAGAACAGGGAGATGGAAAGAAAATAAAAATAAATACTGAAAGCCTTGAACAGATAAAAGAGACTATACAAGCAATAACCGCAAAGTATGCACAGAATAAAACATTAAGTGACACAGGGGGAGGAAGTGAAGTGCATGAACAAGATGCTGATATACAACCAAAAACATTTGTAATAGTAAAGGATGATTCACAGAGGGGGAAAGGAAATCAGAAGACAACAGGAGGGTACAGAATTGATGTTGTCACGAATTATGTACTCTCACAATCACAAGTTAAACAACTGTTGCAGGAATAATGGTGATTGGAACAGAAATTAACACAAAATTGTACACCCATAACACAGAAGAGCATGGCGCCCAGAAGTGACATTTCATGTCATGTCCAGCTGACACAGATTCAGTGGAAATCGGCCGCGTAAGATTTTGAGAGTCGCTTCTGGTGGAGCACTGGCTGGAAGTAAGTGGAAATGGTAAAAAATAAGCACCTCAAGTGCATTTCAACAGATCTTGAGAATGCCACAGTACAGAACTAAGTACACAGTGCTTATCCTTGTCCAAAAATTATAAACGCATTCATGCCATGTATAGTTATAAAAATGTATATAAATAAACATTTACACAATTTACTTTTGGCAGAGATTTAAATGGTTATGGAATTGAGTTGGTTATTTAACAATACTGTCAATATCAATATTATATAGTGTCAATTTAAACGTTTCAGTTTTCTGCTAATTTCAATAATAAAATACTTTTGTAGGGCCATAGAAATAAATATATTCCTTCATGGGTAAATTATTTAAACAGTTATACATAAAACTCTCTAATTTAATTTTTTTGCCACCATTTAATTGTGGAATTATGGTGGTGCATAGTTCACTGCATTTGATAGACCTCGTGAAAACTGAAATGTGTCATGCAGGCATATCAGCGGTTAAAGAGCCCTCTCTTATGCAATGTTGCACCATGTAGTCCAGTAGGAGGAACTATCAGACTACATGAAATCCACAAGACCATTGAAGATTACTGTCTCTTGGTAATTATGATGGTAATGACATACATAATAATATTATTCACGGGCCTTGTTCCAGACTGTCGCTATCATTCTGAAATTTGAGGTTATCTCAGTAGTAACAAGATTGTTGTTTTCTGGGTTGTGATGCCATGTATTCTGGTAGATAGGTAACGTTTCTTCAGCTATAGCCCACATCCTGATTCAGCTGCAAAGGAGGCAGACAACTTTAGAGAAGCTCTACCAAATAATATAAACTTTTCAAACCCACAGAAGCCAATATAGAACATAACCATGAATATGAATAAAGATGTGAGGACAGCATTGGTACTATGCATTATAAAGTGTTCACAACTACCTCTGAAGAAATTTCCTAATCCACCCTCACTTCAACTTTACTGCTATACCAATAAGATCTGGTTTCTTGTAAATAAACTTTGACCCTCATCCTTTTCCATTGCTTCCTTTATGGTTAACATAATTTCTCTGTCTGCTTGATAGCATTGGTTAATATCAGAGGAAAGCATGGCATAATACAAAATTTGTTCAAAAACTAGTGGTTTCAGTATTACTGTAGACTTTTAAAATCTTTTGTTTATGACGTGTTGTAGGGTCATACATGGCACTTGCTGGACTCTCCAAACCCAGATTCCAAATAAATGTTTTCTGATAGTTGGGTAATGGAACATTGATTACGGGGGCTGTGTCAATGCTTGTAGCTATGACAGCTATGACAGTGAAGCTGTAACCTTGCAGATGGTCATCAAGGGTAATGATTCCATCTCTCAAATTGATAATCAGGCCAATAAATGAAAAAAAGGAACATTTACCATGTTTTCATAAACTACTGAGGTTATGTGGTATCAAAATCGGTATTATAGGAAGCTGTTGATGTCTGATGAATTGGGAATGATTTGGAAATAAATTGTGCCCTTATCATCATTGTTAAAGCATTTGTCTTTTAAGACTGAAGAAAACCTTAGAATAGCTATTCCCTCTACTGCTTCCTTTGGGAGACTGACAGATGACACATTAATCAAGTCCTGAGATGTCACACCTCTCAAGAGAATCTGTTAGTAGAGTAGCTTAGCATTATCTGTGAAAGTAGCTAAAGCTATATATATATATATATAAAGAGCAGATCTGTACTTAGTCCGAGGAAATGCATCAAGATTTGATGATATTTCATAGCTGAGAAAATTTAGGCTAACCACATTAGGGCAAAATATTTTCTTGTTCCGATTTGTACATGTAAGTCAGCAGCAGTGAGCTGTGTTTTCATTAAAGATGAAGGCCTAAGTACATATAAAAGAACTGCAAGAAATAAACAGAATCTGCTTTTCCCTTTGTGTTTATTATGGAGAGCTCAAGCTGGAACAAGATGATTTTGTGTGTCCTGACATAAAGACAATTAAGTTTATGAATATGCTTAATTATGTTTTCCTCTGAAGTTGTCAGTCTTTGCCTCTCAGTTATCATTCCACTAATGATTCTCTATGTATATCATCTTGGGATGGTACAAGATGTCCATCTATGGCTGTAGTTCCAAGGGACTCAGTCTCATCCAACTCCAAGAATAATATAAAAATATGTGTTCCATTGGTTGAATATGCCATTTTTGAGAGAAGAGCTGTAATTCAATATCTAGTTCATTCTAATGGCAAGTGGAGGAGAGGTAAAGGTGGAAAAAGGACTGAGGTATAAAAATTGTAGGTTAGAACACAGAATTACCAGACATTTCTTATCTAAATAAATTTTAATTCTCATTGACACATTAAAACAATCACACAATTACCCATACACACATCTGATTCTACAGCTATTATGTGACCATCTTATGCAATTATATGCTTTTATTTTTTATTGATTTTCATATTTGTGTAGAAAGACAAAGATTCTCTTTTTAATAATGCCATTTCTGTGGCACTTTTATATGGATCTTGCAGTATAGAAAAAGTTGGCAATACAAAGACATATGATTCACTTTGATTTGTAGAAAAGTTTGCTGTTACAATGCAGAAGATAACAGGATACGTATATCTGCACAGCGATAAACAACAATGGGACAGCAATGCCTCTCATTCTCTGTATAAGACACTTAGTTATCATATTATTATATCTGTACATCTTTTTGCCTTTGAGTAAGAGAAAGTCATACACAAGGCTAGCCTGCCAAACTGTACCAGGTTTTCTATAGATTTGTTCTGGAGACCATCCATTTTACACAACAGGATGCAAAAGTAAAGACATGTTTTCCATGCCTGGTTTTCATAATGTACACAACTATACTACAGCATTAGTAATATGCTCATATTTTCTGTGACAGAATCCTCGTTCATACCCAGTACATAGAAATAAAAACACTAAATATTGACAAAAGTAGTTAATGCCTGATAATACAATACACAAATATAAATTTATGTATTTTAAAATAATTAAAAACAAAACAAATTACTTTCTGCTATCATTAATGTTAATAGTTTTTTATTCATTTCTGTCACAGAAAATATTATGTCTCTATTATGAAGGCCAATCAGTTGATGCTGTTGAGGGAAATAAACACCTTTTATTGTTGGAATCTTATTTTATCCATACATATACTGTGGCGAATTTGTATGTTAAAACCAGATGGCACATACAGATTCCACTGTGCTTTGAAGGGTTGTATGTTTAAGTGTAAGGGGTTTCACAGTATTGTATTTGAGTGCCCCGCTGCATTAGCTTATCACTAGATATGCAGTACAATCTTTAATGCAACTTCACAGATTGGTCAGCTCACTACTTCCACAGCATTTTCTGTTTCCTAGCTGATATAATATTAACTGAAGTTGTCACCACCAGATCATTTTCCATTTTCTCGCAACTTTCACATGAATGTCACTGCAGGATGCAGGTGTTCAATAATCAATATATAATTAGATTAGGCAAGGCAGTGTTTGTTGTAATGTTTGTCATTTCCATGGAAATCAAATGTGAAACTAAATATCAGTTAGTTGTGATAGGATCAGAAGATGGCAGCAATAAACGGCAGTGTCATCGATCAATATTACAGTGTTGACCTTTGTTGGAAAAAGGTACCCATGGAATTTTATTATCATGATTATTCTAGCAAGCTGCCTCTCCAGAACATCTCAAGCATATTACATTCATACTCAGTGAAATTGTGATTTTGGTGTCCCTAAAGAGGTATAATGTCTGTGAGTGGATCCATGATGAATTATCTGTGGAAACTGCAGTTAGAGATGGCAACTGCCATATTTATCCTTTGAATTTTCAACTGCTAACTATGCTATTGTATGCAAGTTATCACATGTTTTTATGAAACCTTCATAATAATCAACTTACCTGGGAACACCTTACTAATTTCGTACTAAAATTATGTAATGTGAAATAATTACATTCTGCTTTCCTTGTGACTTAGATCTTAGGACGATCTCCACATCAGCATGAAAATGTACTCTTGACCGGATTTATGGAAGGTGAATAAATGAAATGAAATAGATGTTTTGCAGGTGATCTACAGGGCAGACTAACCTTGTGTCAGACCAGTGACTCTTACAGAATGTTAATCAGAGTTGCCACCAGCAGAATTATTTGTAGAATGGAGGAATAAACTAAGATTTATTGTAACTAACCCTTAAGCAGGGATGATCTGAAGACTAGTTCCACACCTCTTACAATTTATGGAACACAGTATTCCAGATTTAGAGTCACTGTCCTGTAATTAACATGAATGCTATTAATTTGCAATAACGATATTTGTGCAAGCAGAGATTAACCCCATGCATTCCTAACCTTTGCACTGGATGGAAGTAAGTATTCAGTTTCTTGTCATCACTGTTTTACACGAGGGAAAAAAGTTCCCATAAACCACTGGATAAAGTGGACTGGGCCCAAGAAGTAGTCTCAGTATGGTTGCAGAGAGAAAATCTGTCCCAGCAGAGAATCAGACTCCAGCCATTTATTCTGCAATTGAATGACTTTGCTAACCACTGTAAATTTCTTATTAATTAAATAATAATGTAACATATGGAACTCAAGAAATCTGTTTTCAGTCATAGTGCTGACAATTATATCTGAAGGAAAAGTGTAAAAATTACCTGATTTTGTGCCTCACTTCTGTGGTCCAGGGATTACCTGGCTGCCATATCTACAGCCAGCTCTGTTTCAAATGTTGTAATCTGTAATGAAGTACTATTTATTTATTAAATTTATGGCACATTCTAATTTTCAATAGTAACAGGCCTGGGCAACACAGCTGTTAAAGATAAAGGTAAAGTTGTCTCTGTGATTAATTAACTAGGCACCCTGCCATGAAGACGTGGGGAGAGGAAGTATAGCTCCACCATTCTTGTGTTCGGTACTAGATGGAGGTGAGTGGTGAGATTCATGCCCCAGCCATTTTACCCCTGGGGAGAGAGCCCCTGGTACCCACTGAATAGGCTGGGAATAACCCAGAGCCGGTCTGGATGTTGTGGAGTAGAGAAAAAACTCTTGCCCCTGCCTGGAGTTGAACCCCGGCTGTCCAGCCTGCAGCCCGTTGCTATGATGATTGAGCTACCCCAGCTCCCCCTCAACACAAATATTAAGTCATGAAAAGTCCTGAAACACTACAGAATACAAATTTAGTATTTTTAGGTTTACTGACACCTTTAAACGGAAATGAACTTTGGACAATGAATGCAAGAAACCAGAATTGCAGCTCCTGGAACAAACTTTATGAATGGCAAAATACACTTGGATAGACCACAAAAGTAATGAAAACAAATGAAAAGAATTCAAAACAGAAGCCATATCAAACAAATATTCGAAATATAACACAAATTGGATTTGAGACACTAGCATAATGCAAAGAGTTCTCTAAACTATTAAAGAATTACCGATCATATTGACCAAGGTACTGAGAAAGACATCTGAAGAGATTACTGGATGAGTGAGACTGAAATGGGCTGAGACATTGCCCATTTTCTGATAGCTTCATGGTGATGATTATAGCACGCAGAAATAACTGGATATCACTGTGAAGAACTCATCTATGTAGTTCTTTAGAAACAGTTTTTGTGATTTCCAAGAATTTTTAGAATTTAGAACCACCCTCCTGCTTTAGGGTTTACAGGTTTCCAACAATCCAAACCTTAACACCACATAAAATATTCTACAATGTACATAAATCAACATCTGTCTTACACATGTTATGTAAATACATCAACCAAGACTTGAACTTGACAATGTGTACAACCACAAATTTTATATCAGGTTTAAAACAAAGAGAAAAGCATATGTAACTTTCAGCTAATTTAAACATGGCACAAAAAATATTTTTAACTGACTAATACAGAGTTATCATGCTACAGTTTAAGGTTAATTTAAAGCTATGAAACATATACTTATCTGCATCATCAATTATAACATGTTACATGATGCATGTCATTGTTTGTATTCTTGCACAATGAAGAAACTCTTTATATGTTATGCAAATTGTAAAAATAATGCTTTATAAATATTCCTGTACTTAAATTTTATGCCTTTACTCACTAAATGTAAACTCTTTAGGAAGCTGTGGGTGCACTAATAAAAATTTGGGTTTCATAAAGGTAGGACATTTTTTGACTAGCTACATAACCATGAACTTCTCAAGATGGATTCTGTTCCACAGAATTACTTAATTATTTAATGACTATTTCAGGTGTTTCAGTAATGACAGTTCTGAAATTGGGACAGTGCCAAAGTCATATGGAGAGGACGTGTCACAAAACTGAGGTTTAAAATTGGTTTCAGGTTTGTGGTATCGGTATTACAGAGATGAATTAAAGATGCTAGGAACTGATTTGATATTAGACTCATATAATGTAAGATAAAGGTAAAGCTGTCCCTGTGCTTAATTAACCCCCCCTTCCTCTTGTCATGACAACATACAGGGAAATGCAGGTATAGCTCCACACATTTTTAACTTCGGTACGAGATAGAGGTGAATGGTCAAATTCATGACCTGGTCGCTTTACCCCAGGGAAATAGTCCCCATACTCAGCGGCTGTGGAGAGAAAGTCTCTTTCTCCTGCTATGCCTAGTCACTATATTGGCTGAGCTATCCCAGAATGGAATAATTAATCCTTGATTTGTCTCATTCTGGTCCATCACACTATTAATTACAAAGTAGGTAACTTTCAGTCCAGTATGACATACAGGTTTACATATGACACAGCACGCACGTAAACTATACAACAAACAATAAGAACATACAACCAAGAGAAATAATTGACATCTTCTACCATCCGGAAGAAAAAACATGACCCAATGCTGGTTCACGATTTTTAACATAATAACTAATTTTTTACATACAAAAGATTTTTAATACAATTTTAAATACATAGGGAAGCTATTTTATGGAAAAGTGAACATCACATTGCGTGCAGTGGGAAACCTCAATCGAATACCCAGCAAATATGCTTAAACGAAACATCATACGTAAATCTACACGTCAACGTGGCTGCATAGGGCAAACTATGATGTAGTGAGCACTATTCATAACCTAAGTGCATAATGTTAAAACATCTTATGTGAAAGTGTTTCCTGCTCATAGTGGTGCGCCTCTGAAGATGATTCTTTTGAATCGAAACATGTAAGGCGAATAAAGACTGAAGTGTTGTAAACCTGTATGTCATACTGGACTAAAGTTATCTACTTTGTAATTAATCCTTGCTCTTGCTGCATGGAAAATTTTCAAGTGAATTGCTTAGTGTGAGGCCCTCAGCATCATAACTGGTATGGCCAGGATTGCTTAAGAATTTGGTTTTCTTCCTTGATAGAAGTTATGTATTCAAAACGACATGTGTAAATAGTCTTCTGTATTTTAAATGAATACTAACAGCCATATTATAAAATTCCTAGCACTGAAATCAGGAATATGGCTTCAAAGCAACACACTGCTAACAAAGTTTTAAATGTACATCTTTGACTGTGAAGCTTATACTGGTGCCTCATCTCACTCACACTTCCATTATTCGTGTTTCTGCATACCTGCAGTTTTATTTCAGTGTCATGAGAAGCATCAATGTCTTATTTGCAGGCATGGAATAAAATGTTGCACATGTCCCGTGAACTGCCTCACCATTTTGATTTGGCCATGTCATTTTCTATTCCTTTCACACCATGCTTAATGGCCTTTCAGTGTATTTCCTGTTCTTTTATTTTAGTTGGTTATTTAACGCTGGGGTCCATATTCAGACCAAATAGCTTTAGATTGATTAAAGAATGTGGAACAATTGTTGGAATTAGAACTCACAGGGGAAACCTAAGGACTTCGAGAACTAGCCCTAGTACCAATTTGTCTATCAAAAATCACACATGGCCTGACCTAGAATAGAACCTGGGCCTCCTCATTGGGAAGCTGGCTACTATATATGTGTGTGGGTGTGTAAGGAGTTGGCCATAAAATCCAGCTCTTGCACTGTGACCTTCAATGTTCTATTGTGCTTCCCCTTTGGATTAACCCTTTATTAATCCTACACTTCGAATGAAATGTAGGACTTTAATTATGTGGGCATCATAAAAGTCACTTGGTTCCATGAAGAACTGACCCAGGTGACAAAATCTTAAATAAGCTATGGCCTCACAATGACACAGGATGTGTGTGGCTGATTCGTCTTCTTGTAGGCACCTTTCACAGGTTGGGTTATCTGTTTGAAAAGGTGTCCTTTTAGGTGGCAGTGTCCAGTAAGTAATCCTACCATCCATCTTAACTGATATCTGTTTAATTTCAACAGGTCCTTCGTTCTTCTGGCAGAGGGTCCTGATATGAATCCCTTTGCTTATTTGAGTCCAATTGTGGATTCCCAGCGTTTTTTTTTTTGTGATTTCTATCTGTCCAGTCCCTGATTGCTTTCTTGGCAACTCTGAGATGCCACAAGCTGGTTCTGGTCCAATGAACGGATGTTCAGATTCTGTTCTTGCCAGCTGATCTGCGGTTTTATTCCCAGTAATACCCTCATGACCTGGCAGCCATATCAGTTGAGCTCTGTTATGTTTGGCTGGTTGTATGAGGGATTGGTGGCTGTCCCAGATCAATTTTGAAGTGATTTGGTGTGTACCAAGTGCTTTAATTGCAGCTTGACTATCTGATAGAATACAGATGTTCCTAATTTTATAGCTTCTATCTAAATTCTCACCAGTGCATGCCTTAATGGCATACACTTCTGCCTGGAATACTTTTGTGTACTGACCAAGGCTGAAACTACGTTTCCACCCTGCTCCATCACAATACACTCCAGCTCCAGTGCCTTTGTCTTGGAACCATCTGTATAACAGATTAGTCTCCCCTTTCTATGTGGTTGAAACCCCTCTTTCCATTCACTTCTATAAGGAAATCTGATCATGAAGGGTTTATCATAGACGTGTTTTGGTATCATTTTATCAGACCCCATCTGTAGGATTGGTTCGTTTTTCATGTCCTGAATCATGCATGCATGTCCAAAACCTTTGGATTTAGGTCTCCATTGATCATTGCAACGTAATCTGTAATTTCCTAACTTGGCCTCTGCTTCCATCTGCAGATGCAGTGGGGGGAATCCTAGTAGGATACTGGCAGCATAGGTAATTCTGGGTATTTTTTTTTATTGCTAGTAGGGTGGGACTAAGTCCCTTGTACTGCAGCCCCTTCTGGCCTATTGTACCAGCCCCAGATGATAGGTGAGGGTGATTGTGAAGCAATTGGTGGAATGAAGATTGGCAGGGGAAACCAAAGTACTTGGAGAAACCCTGCCCCAGCACCACTTTGTCCACCACAAATCCCACTTAACCAGACCCTGGGATCGAACTTGGGCCACCACGGTGGGAAGCCAGCGACTAACCGCTTGGGCTATGGCACGGCCCAATTATGGGTCTTACTATCACAGTGTATAGCCAATATACCACTTTTGGTTTCAATCCCCAGGTCTTTCCAAATGTGCCTCTGCATGTCCAGAAGGCGTTATAGGCCTTAAGCTGGCAACTAACTGCCAGAAGAATGGCTCACAACTTCCATGTCTTATACCTTTTTATATAAGCAGTGATTTTCAGTTCTGTGTATTTATTTTTTAAAGATGAAACACTACTGTATCTAAAGACAATGTCAAGAATTTGGCTGTGATGAACCTAGGCACAGTTGGCTCTGCATACTGTATGTCCTCTCACAATTCAGCCTTAATAAAGTGGGTTCTTCTAGCCCCAGTGTTTACATATGTGGCACAAGCCTATATTTCATCCCAGGTGATGAGAAACACCTCTCTCACACAATTCAAATTGGGTCTTTTTGAAAACTGTGTCACAATTAATGACACAAAATTCCCATACACTGCAACAGAACCCACTACTGGTGTCATATTTCATAAAATAAGAGTCAAAGAGACAGTGATAGAAATGAAGCACTATCTGTTCACAGTGATCGCAGTGTTGCAGCTGGAATAAGATTACAGAATAAGAGAGCAAACTTGCAGTTCACAGTTATATTTAAACCATTACATATCATGTTTAGATGACTGCCAATTAATGGTCACGATATGAACAAGAGATCAATAAATATTAATTTTTGTTTAACAATGTGCTAAAAAGAGGTTGTACAACATGCTGCTCGAGGCAGCCAATTGGTTAGCCTGTGCTTCCTGTTATTTTGTAGTTTATTTAGCAACATTCTCAGTTACACAGACTATATAGCATTAATAACTGGAATACGAGGAATTAATTGGAAATAGTGTGGAAGGAAGCGGTTATGGTCTAAGTTAAGGTACAATCCTGGCGTTTGCCTGGAGGGGCTGAAGAATATTATGGCTAACCTAAGTCAGGATATTTGGCACCCTAATTGGACCTCAAACTGGACACCTCCAAAATACAAGTCAGAAGCATGGCCACTTGAGCATCTAATCCCCTGAGACCTTTTCTAAGTGATATACTACATGTCCTTGCAATGCTATTCAAATGCCAAAGAGGGTAAAGCTAGCTGGAAAGTTCAGTCACATTCAGAAGTAACCTTTTCATCTTTCAGTCTACCCACAAGTTAGGCACAATGGGTTAAACCACTTCACACTGGACACATTTTTTAATTTGAATAACATGTACAAATGGTGCCTTGAAAGGGGGTATTTTTCTTGTTTCTCCTTTATTTTTTAGCTTCTTTCACAACCAAATAGTTGTTATAAACCTGAGATTTTACATGACACTGCATCATGTAACAAGGCAAACTCTTTCCTCCATTTTACTTGTTCTGGTAGGTTGCAACCCTATTGGAACACATGTTCAAAAGTTTTGTAACAATAAGCAGAGTTTCTATTGGTATCTAATTTTACAAATAAAATGATAAAAGGTGTGAGGAGGGAAAGTGGGGGGGGGGCACCTTTGAAAACTGTTGTCATCCTAGCATAGTAAAATGGCCACTTGTAAACAGATTGCTTCAATAGGTTGAAATATCTTCACAACACTGTATTCTGTGTGCATATACCAAATTTGTATTTTTAAAACTCAATATAATTTGGCGAGATTTTAGTAAATTATATAAAATTTGAGAATTTTCAGCTCTGTTAACCTCAATTTGTCACAGGAAATGAGCACTTTTTGTACAGTAAAACCCACATTCGAAGGTACAACATGACTACAAACAACAAAGTATTTCAAGATTACTGTCAAATGATTTATGATGCCATGTATCTGGTAGACTGTTACTAGTTTTTCAGAGAAATCTGTTGCCTCCATCTTCAGGACAGAAGAGTGAAACAAGGGTGAATTATAAGGCATGGATATATTCCAAATTTTGTGCTGGCTTCATGGGGGTAATTTCAAGTCACCACAAGCACTCAGACCGCTACTGGGACCACTATGAACTCTCATTATTATCCCTTTGTTAACTGTTTGAAGCACAGATTTCTTCCGGTTTAAAAATGCAATTGCTACCACACAGGAAACATGGTTTGTCCATATCACAAAGAACAACTGGTTAATGCAGTATAGGGAAAAAATCGCCATTTATTCTGAGAATCAGGTGGAACATATTCATATATTTTATGGGCAAAATTTGAAATTCCTTTAATGTTAAATCAAGAGCTACATATGGTAACCACTATGTTAAATGACAATGACTCAAATTAAATATTGCAGCCCTTGACTGTGGTTCAATGAGAAAATATCACTTTACTACCACATGTAACTATGATTTTATTTGAGTCCCTAACTAGATTTTACTGTACATTAGCATTTCCTTAACTTCCCATAACACTGCAGAAGACCCAGCTGACTTCCATAATCACCTAAGATGCAAGAATTTTAAAATTCTTGTACCTGAAAAAAGTGTATTCAAAGATGTAATGTATGGGACTTCAAGAAATGTAACTTTTCTTACCCCAATCTAATTTTACATATTCCTTACAATCCCCCCCACCCAATTACAAAAAGATACGCTTATCACATAATAGGCCATTTTTGTGTACTGCAACTTGTTTTAAACCTCTGCTTTAAACATACAAACTGGGTTTTTATGTGTTTACAATTTATATGGGATACTGTTTAGCAATATGGCCTCCACCTTTTGGAATGCCTAGGAAAACACAGATTTCTTACAATTATAAACCTACTTGAGTATCACATACAAGCACCCATGGGCAACTTTTTCTTTCGGTTGGTTTTTATAAATTTTCATATAAAACTTCTAAACTCATTTTTTCAACACTATACATATGTACTTAAAAATATATGTATATATATATGTGTGTGTTTTCCATATACACATACAGCATGTGACTAAGATGGAGCAAGGCTTTACAAAACTACAACAATATAGTACAATCCTCCTGGAGAGAAGGGAAGCTGTGGTTCATTCATCCGACTGGGCGGAAAATGCGTGAGAGAAAGGAGGGGAAGAAATGAGCAGGGGTACACAAGGTCCAGGTGTACAGTTGGCACACCTACTCTTTGCACAAGTCAGTGAATTAATTAACATGGAAGGAGAGTATTTCAAGACCAAAGTTCACTGACATAATGAGTTTTAATACTACCAGCATCACTTGACAATATTCTGTTCAAAATTAGTTTTTTTTTTATATTCTGGGGGGAACTTTCTGGTACTTTTAAACATTGTGCTTAAAACCCACCAATGTCATTTCATATTATAACATGCAATATACGAGTACAGTATATACATGTATTGCATGTATATATGTGTAATAGGACTGGGCACAAGAAAATAATATTTTCTTTTCATGAGAGTTGAGATTTTCACAGCAGCGACTATAAATGATACAACTCGATTCTAAGGTGTTCTGGGGATGGGGTACAACACTTGGAAAAGCCGAGTTTCTGGAATCTGCCTATTGTCCACTCTTCTAGAAGAACATAAGGTCCAGTGATTCAAATCAACTCTTCATAAGAAACCCAAAAGAGTGGGTGCCTCTTAAGCATTTCACTTGAGGTTGAAAACCGATTCAGTTTCAGAAACGATGTGTTATATTTAGAATATGAGATGACAGACAAAGAGCAGAAACTTAATAGTCCTGTACACGTATGTTCGCCTATATGTACAACTTAAGAACTGCTGAATGAATTTCTGAGAAATCTGATACTGGATAGTTTTACTAAAAATGTCTACACATTCCACTGTAACTTAAGGCTGTATAAAAATAAGTACTTTACATGAAGAGCTTATGTTTTTCCTTTCGCATCTTGTGCATAACTTGCTAAATATTTATTAGAGCAAAAAATATTTTGAACAGAAGTTAGAGAAAACATGAAACACACATCTCATGACTAAAACCCTACATTTTTTCTTCAAAAAGCCCTTTGTCTCCAAGGCAAACAAAACTGAGCAAGGATTACAGAACTGTTAAGCTATATAGACATTTCTTAACATGTTTAATGCTCAACAGAAACTGAGTTCTGCTGTTTGTAATCTGCTCATATTCCACATACAAGTTTTTTCTGCTGTGTGTCAAAACAGGCATATATTTTATGTAAAGTAATTTCAAGTTTTTGCTTTAAATTCTCCCATTCAAAATCATATATATAACCATCTAGTAAAATTTCACAATTGTATGGAACCTCTCAATAAGTTATTTCTGAGTTTTTATCATTTTATGAAATATTAATGTGCAAATAACCACATATTCTCAACTTTCTCCAAAGAGTTATTGCTATATTCACATTCTGGTCTTTTGGATTATGATACCAAGTAGTTTGGTAGATGGGCTGGATATACTGCCCCCTCCTTCAGGGTAGAAGTCTTCTACCATAGATATGAAGGCATATGTTTCTGCAAATTTTTGGGAAGACCACAATATGAATCTTCACTGCTGTGAAAATCTGAAATATTGTAATTGTGTTGTAATTCCATTTAACTATTTACATATTTAAAAATATTCATCGATCCTCATGTCTACTCTTTTATCTCAACTGATTTTTAACCCTCTGCAAGCCACAAGCTCAGCGAACTTTAGTTACAATTGTGAGAGTTGACAAGATTGGCTCACTTTTAATGAATTAGTACAGCATTTCTGTCAACAGATTGCATCAAGTGTTTAGATGAAAGAACAGTCATTCTTTTTACTTAAACTTGTGAGCATCTAAGGGTAATCTGCCAAAGTATTGTGGGGTTACGTGTGTTATGGTATTTACCACTAAGCAGCCTTAGTATTTCTAGCAGGTAGTTTGATTACATAGCTTAGTAATAAGAAGGTTAAATGTGAATTTATAAAGAAAAGTTCTGTCCTACTACGAGTAGAAAGCTTCAAGAATCAAATATTCATATGGCAGTAAAACCATACTAAAATTGAAATGGCTGTAAAATGAATGCATGTCGGACTCCAAAATTTGGTTACTTTTCAATCTCAGTTCTAATATTATGTTATAATATAGACAGTGTGGACTGCTATAGCGGGGCCCAGCATAAAAGGGGTAAAATATATGCAATACAGCATTGCTAAATGGATTTTTCACAAAATGACATCCTATGAGCTTAAAAGAAAAGGCTCAATATTTCACATAACCTTAACTGTCTCTGTAGTGACACTGGTAATAATAAAACCTTCAATTAATTTAACCCCTGTATACATTGATAGGTAAAAGTTTTTGACAGGAATTATCACTCTTCTCAGAATGTGGTTTTACAACAGCCAGCTGTATTTACAAATTACATTACAATTCCATGTCTTGGATTTTTTCTGTCTCTTATAAATTCATATATGTAACGTGTATTGTAACAAATCTGATATTTAAAATATGAAAAATTCGGCAACAGGTGACTCAAATAATTTACCACAGCTGTACACTACTTACATTCAACAGATCCGGCAGCGTTTCTTTAGACAATCTTGTGCATACAATGTAGAATGAATAAACAAAACAGTGGTGAACATCAATGAATAATGACAGTCACAGAGGACATCTAGTGACATTAAAACTTCAGTCATTGTCAAAATATCCAATAATATCAATGTAACTGGACATAAGATACATATATAAGCCTATTGTGGTAGTCACTGTTCTGATAGAAATCCTGTGCTGAAGAGAGAAAAATCGATTGCTATCAGAATGTAAATCTGAAACACTCACAATAATCATGTGAACATAAGTATGTTGCAATTTAAAATGTCTGTAGCCAATTTCGAAGTGTAAAGAACCGATGCCTTGAGTTTCTGCAGTCGTGGTTATAGTAAATGTTATTTATTGAATCACCTGCAGTAAATACAAAACCATCCAAATATTAATTTATTAAAATGTTATATATTCTATTATGAATATCTGCTAGGTATCACAATGTTATTCATAAGATGTAGCTTTGTTGGTATGAACAGATTAAACCAGGGAATTTGCTGCAGTTGAAACTGAGGCAAGTAATCAGAAATTCAACCACTTGATTAAAAATCGTCACAGAGAACCATAAAGGCCCAATTTTACAACAGATGAACAAAAATATTGTGACATATTGCTATGAAAACTAGCAAGACTGAAAGATTTGGAAGTGTTACACCATGGAAGAGAAGATTAGCTTTCATTCTGTTTAGGATACAAAGACATGATTTATATAAAAAGTGAAAAAATTACCAGCCCTAAGGATCTCACCATTGTTTTGCTACTCAGGATTCTGCTCGGGAAGTCTTGGGAATTGTGCGAGGATATTGTCAAAGTAGTTCACATTCCAGACCATCAGCAAGACTAAAGGTATTATGCCTTTTTTCTCTCCCAAGATAAATAAATGTATATATACTTTAACGGGGAGTAGGGGAGAAAATATATATATATGAAGCTAAAATTAATGAGTATGTATACTACATTCTGGACGTAAATGTTATCGTCTTTGTTCACATCCTGTTGTGTTTGTATAAATGCCTTGTCTCTTCTTTACAAACCCAAGAACACTGCTCACTAAGGGTTGCGAGTATATTCCAATACACAACACCCAGTTTTTCATGATCTTCCAGTGTACCAGTCAAGATCAGTTAAAGCTGCCAACAAAAATTAACAAATTAGTGAATAAGCAAAAGAAAAAATGTACCTGTAGCGATTTCTTGTACATGATCAATATACTTACTGCCATGGCATCATCAGTTATGTTAAGTTTACTGTGTACCAGCACTGATCCCGTCAACCGACAGGTTTGCCACTGTGATACATAAAAGTAATTTTATCCTAAAGCTATCATTCAAATACAGAAGACTTCAAGTGTAGCTTTCTGAAGCTTGTTATTCACATTTTCTCTTCCATTTCAAATGTAGTTACATCCAGCATCCAGCCAAAAAAAAAAAAAAAAAAAAAAAAAAAAAAAAAAAAAANAAAAAAAAAAAGTAAAGCTATCCCTGTAACAGGCCGTGAAGGCCCATAGGGTGTCCCACATTATCTAGACAATCAGCTCAAAGATGGCGGTTAAAAGGTACAACTGGTAGCTGAGTTTTTAGTGTGGGGACTTGGCAACTAACATGTCAACTAAACTCCATGCAGAAAAGCCCAAGGCTAGTGTACCATCTTCCAACATGCCATTACTTTTTAAGGTTATAAGATGTTAATCCCCTATCAAAACTCAGAATAAGTGGGGTTTTGGGCTTTGTCAAATACGTATCTGGTATTCCAGAGAAAACCCTATAGAACACAATATTTCAGGAACTGGATCTCTTTCTGCCCTCAGATAGGGAGGTAGACACCTACTCTATTGGGTCCCTTAGAAAGAGCTATCCCCTATCACTGGATATATACCTACCAAACTCCAAGTTACAGGACCACCCATTGTCAGGAGTCTGTGACTATATTTATTCAATATATCCCACATCTGAAGACTGTTTCACTATATTGGACAAGGTGAAGCCTGACACAAAAAGTGTAAGAGGCTTAAACTTGGTGGAGATCAAACATATGACCATTCAAGTGACTAGACTGCTGTTGTAGCAGAAGCTACTAGAAATAGGGCATAATCTGCTGTACTGAGCCTGGACTGACAGAGGCTCTGTATATATTTTATACACATTTATTAACACGTTTAACATGTAAAATGTAAATATCCTTTACACTACGACAAATGACTTTCTACTGCAGACAATGACTCTGACAAAAGACAGACCTGTCCTCTTGTCAGAGAGGGCGCCCCACAGAAACATGTGGTCATAAGCCCCAGATTGGGCTGAACACCAAGACTGACTATCTGACTGACTGACTGACTGACTGACTGACCGACCGTCTGTCGCAATATGACTTTGACTTCGACTGAAGGCTGTTAACTCCATTCTTAATTGCGGTATGCTCCATGTTGCGGCACGGGACCTTCTTGGTGTGGGGCCACAGATCAGTACCTGTGCAATGCTTATGATCACACTTACCATGTTACATGCCACAATCAAAAGATTCCCATTCGCTGACTCTAGAGTCTTGTTGCTGAAGCCTCTGTTGGCATGCTGCCAGATAACTATCCTGTACCCGATACATGCCAGTATTGGCTTGAAACATCAGTGTATCCAGGATGCGCTCATTCTTAATAGCTTTAGTTGGCAGCACAATCTGAAGAAAATAAGTAAGATTAGACACACACAGTGCTCTCCCCTGGATAAAGGTAAAAAAGGTTAAACTGTCCCTGTAACAGGCCATGAAGGCCCAGAGGGGTGTGAGGGGTCGAGGCTCCCACAGCTTCTAGACAACTGACTCACAGATGACGGTAAGGTTGTCAGCCTTACGCGCCTGCCATCCGTTAACCCCAGGAAGATTCCTGGTACTCATTTCTATTAGAGGCTGTGTTGAGCTCAGGGCCATAGTGTGGCTGGAAGGATTAGGTCAATTGAAAACTTCAATAACCTCATCGGGATTCGATTCCGCGATCTTATGGCCAGCAGCATAGTGCCTCAACTAACTATGCTACCACATGCCCCCTCTCCTGGGTTACTAACTTAACCTTTTGCACATCATGTGCTGATTAGATTGGTTTGGGGTGCTCGATTAAAACCAACACAGTCAAAGAGACTGACTCATTATGAATCAATTAGTGTAGCATTTTTGTCAGGAGATGGCATCAAGTGTGAAATACCAATGATTAGATGAAAGAACGAGTTTTCATATGAATTATTTCTTTTGTTATTTAAAGGTCATTTGCGGAAAGCATTATGGGCATGTTTTCAGAAATCTCAGAAGTACAATGTGTGGATTAATGAGTCAGCAAGGCCCATCAAATGCAACATGTTTATTATTGTGCCATATTTGCTCAAAGCATGAAATGTGGAGCCAGAGAAACAGCCATTGCTAGCGAATGGCTCTGAAACAACATTTGTTTCTAGTCAATGATCGCAAACAAACAGGTTCCCACAGCAACAGGCTGTGTGCAACAGTGGAGGTACTGTTGGAAATGTGGTTTTCAGTGGTGGTCCACGCTGAGGGGTTATAAAAAAACGATGAAGTGATGCCCTAGTCAGTTGGAAAGGAGCGGCCATTTAGAATGGACTTGAGCCTGGAAGCAGAGGAATAGTCCCTGCTGGAGCCCTTCCAGGCAACTCCTAGAGAAGACACTGCAGGCTGGGAAAGATTTTGTATGTGCTCTAGTGATTTGTAAAGTGTAGAAATTAGTGATGGCATTATAATTAAGTGTATTCATGAATCGTGTGTTAAAGTGGTCAATATATCCAATAACTCACTCAAGTTCGTGAAAATATAAAATATTGCCATTACATGTTTTGGCAGAGGCAGCCTCACACTTGCACCTGATGGACCATGCCATCCTTAAAAAGTGTGATGGGTCAGCATGTCTCCATAAAATAGCAGACTTCATACACTTTTGCATATGAATTATGAACGTTACAGACTGGCATATACTTGAGTGCAGTGATTTCATCTACACTAATGTGATGAAATGTTTATCCCTTTACTGCATATTATTTTCTCACCATTTTCCTAAAATATTGCAATTTTATGGTGAAAATATAGAAAAAGAAATAACAAAAATGGATATTCATAACGTAGTGAATGGTGTTATGTGATGCAGTGAAAGGAGAAGAGTCAGTTTTAATTCCTACAGTACCAGGTTGCCATAACTGCTATTTCTCATGGGTATATAATGTAACTTTTAAGAACTTCAGGTGTAGGGAAGAAAGTTTCCACAAATGTTTCTTGAATTTTGTAGTTCTGATAAAATCCCAATAAATGTCACATGCTGTGAGTAATATAAAATTTTATGAACATAAAAATTTTGACACTTGGCACATTTCAGTGGAAAAGGACACAGTGATATGGCAAAGCCTGAATTGTTTCAGGGTTCTGTCACTTTAACAACTTTAAAGTGCAACTGCTAGTAGACCTTGATGAGATCCTGAGGTGAAATCCTGTACAGCTTGAGGTCACGCGATAATCGTTCCATAGTGCATCTGAATTCCAACTTGGCATCCATTTTGGACGAGGTCTTTGTGCGTATTTTGTGGCGTGCCCATCCCAGCATTGCTTCAAACTTGCACACCTCAGGCACCTCTAAGGTGCGGGACATTATCATTTGAACCATGGACTCTGACAGAGTTAGGAAATCTTGTACCTGGAACAACTTCAACAAAAGATGCCATCATCACTGTTATTGTCATTATCACTGTCATTTTTATTCTTTGTTGTTGTCATTATCATTGTTATTATTGTCAGAACTGCTATTGTTATTGGTGTACTACTACTACCACCACTACTGTTGCTGCTGCTACCGCCACCACCACTGCTTTTATTATTATTTTTGTTGTTGTTGCTGTTATTATTTCCTTCTATGCATTAATGTTTTTTTTTTTCTCCAGTGCTTACCTTTAATTAGTCTTTATGACTAATGTGTTTGTCCTGTATGTAACTACTTTTATCTACACTGTGCTGTCTGTAATTGGCCTTGTGGCTGTTGGCTCAGCACATAAATAATAAAGAACCGAATTATTATTATGTATTATTATTTCAAGCTTTCATGAAGTGAGTATGCAATTAAATCTTCTCAGATGATTGGCCATGTCAACGTGTAGTGGATATCCAGTGTTTCTGAGACTGCCCTCCATCATCAGAGAGTGATGTGAAGGTAAAGATAAAATTGTGTGCTGTGTTCACACATTGTGTTTATATACAAGGTTACCATATGTTCAAGCGTGGAGTGTGTTCGGAACAGTGGGTGGATTGAGATGGTCCGTTATGCCTGGTCCCGACACAGACCAAATGGAGAAGAGCTGATTGATCCTCTGGATTCACTTTGTAAATCATACCATATGAAAGATAAAAAGGTAAAGTTGTTCCTGTGTTTAACTAATTAAGTACTATGCAATGGAGATATATGGGGGAGAGGAGGTATTGATCCACATTTTCTTGAACTCAGCACTAGCTGGAGGTCAGTAGTCAGATTCAAGTCCCAGTCGCTTTGTCCCCTGGTACCCAATGGATACGAGGTTGGGTGGACCCCAGAGTTGGTCTGGACGATGTGGAGAAGAGAAAATTCTCACCCCTATCAGACCTTGAACTCTAACTTCCCCTGGTCATCCAGCTCATATCCAGTAGCTATACCGACTATGCTATCCCGGCTCCTAATGTCATATAATGCTTCTTAAGTTAAGAACGGCTAATGCATAGCAACGAATGCAGATGACTGAATGACTGAGTCACTGATTGACTGTTTCGCACACACTCTGGGACTTGAACAGAAGGCAATCTCATGTATAAATATATCATGCAAATATGATACTCCTCGCATCAACTCTGAATGACAGAGACAGAGACAGTCTCTGAAAAGCTGTAAACCAACTCCATACTGACACACCTGATTGACTGAGAAGACTACATTATGTTGCTGACGGAGATTAGCAGTGACAATTTTGTCATAAATTTTCACATCTTATTATGCTGTCTCACATGCAACTTTTAAAATTCACTGTGACTTTTAAATCATTGGTGCACTACATGTTTTGACCAGTATATGGTCATCATCAGGTGCTTCAAATTGATGTTGGAAATGTTAAAATTTGAAGTGAATTTTAAGATTTTAAGTTGCATGTGAGACAGTGAAGTGAGAAGTGAAAACAAGTGGCATGCAACAGGATGCTGCAGTACAGCACTTAACATAGATCTTCAAGGAGTGAAAAAATTTAAATAATGTCTATTAATATTAGAGGCTACTGTGAACTTGTGGTCACCAGCTCAAAAGATTAACTTTCCTCAAGTGAGGAAATGGCAATATTTTTGAACCTCTGATAATAATAAAAATGTTTGTGCAGAGACTTCTGGGTACAAATTAACAAAGAGGAAAAGTGTGTGAAGACCAAGAAAGAGAGGGAAATGTAGAACTGGCCGTAGAGTTACTTCATCATGATGAAGACAGAAATGAATAAGAAAAGAAACAAAAAGAAAAGAAGGGATATGAGGATAATTAGGAGAAATAGGGGGAGAAAAAAGAAGAAATGAAGATGAATGTGAATAATATTACCCATGTAAAACATCACTGAGGGTATGTCATACCCTGAGCAGACAATCTCACAGAAGAAAATCCTGTGTGTACAATGATACTGATGCATATCATATGTTGAAAATAGAATGTAGTAACTTTCTGATGGGTTAATGACCTACATCACCATCTAATGATGAAGCAACTTCACTGACAAGAGCATAAATAATTTTATTTGTGCTTTACCTGGTGTGATCTTCCTTCCACAAAGGCAAGAATCATATTGACAAGCTCAGAGGCAGAAGTGTATCTCCAGTAATAGTTCTCTAGCGAACAGAGCATCATACAGACCTGTAAAACACAGCAGATCAATTCAGTCCCAAGCTATTCTCTTGATGAAGTCATAATTTCAGTGACTTCTGTATTTGATGAACTTAAATACAAAATATTTTACCAACAGACAACCAGACGGATGCTGAATATACAATATTTCTAAATACTGAATTGTACCAGGATAAATATATCGTAATCCAGTGTACAAAGATGAACGTTCAAGGCACGCCTGTACAAAGTATAGGCATTCATTGTGGAACTGGTCACATTGTTTTCAAGATTCTATATTCCCTAAAGCTTTGGAATCGACGACTGAAGTGAAATTTACAAATTGTACTGTAATTAAGTATTACATTTATATTTCTTATTGAGAAGAACTGACTTAACCCTGCAAGATACAGTGTTTGGCATGTGTACCCCCTACTCTAACATTAAAGAGACACCGCATTTTGCTCATTTAATATATCTGTATGTTTCATATAATTGTCATAAGAAACAGTGATTATTTTTCTAAACAGCATTAACCAAGTGACCCCTGTAATGGAGACACAGGATGTTTTCTGCAAGGTAGGAACTGAACTTTTAAAGTTATTCATAAGAAAAGTATGCTTCAAAGGGTTAAATAACTGTATGCATGCCTACATGAAATTAATTCTTTGGGTCAAAGCATATTAATGCTGACAGACATAGATCAATCAGTTCTTTTAATGTGACAGGGGTTCCTATTTGGCAGTAACACTTTAATGATATTGTCATGTGTAGGGGGGTACACATGACGAAATGACGGGTTCCAGTTCGGATGACTGGATTTATTAGCAGCTTGGTTACACACTTTTTAGTTACACTTAAATACAGTGCTATCATTGATTTACATTCATCTCATAATTCACTGCTGCACGTGCACATGCACACTCCCACACACACAAACTAGTCCTCTTCGGGTAATGTGTCTCAACACAGAAATTAGAGCTTCAAATCACTCCAAATATTGCACACAATTAAGGTCTTGAAATCACACTTTAAATCTTCACAGTCTTCTACGAATGTCCCGTTGCTGTCACTCTTATTGTTCCATAAACACACTATAACACTTTCAAATACACTCCATCTGTTCTGTCTCTAACTGTCATCACATAGCCTCTGTACTGACCGTGCAGAAAACAGCCTGTATTGTTGGAACGTGTTTACTGAATGATCGCATAGCAACAGTCATGGCGCTGACTGCATAGAAAATGCCACACTCCCATTCTTGCCTTGTGTGTATTTGGCTGCAAGCTGTTTGATGGTCAGCTGACTAGCAACGCTGTGTCCATTCAAATTACAATATTATTTACAATCAAATATTATGGGCAGTTAATCGTTTTTTTCAATGACATTTCTGTTATTTTATTCTACCATATAAAACCTGAGACTGTGTTAAAGCTGGTGTCTTACTGCAAAGCCTCAGGTTCAGTCCCTAGTGGCAGACGAAGTGACATTGCAGCAGGTGAATCTCCGAGTTGCTTCAGCTTTTCCCTGCTAATCATCATAGTACAATTGCTCCATACTCATCTGTCATCACTCCCCAAGGCGTGTGACACTCCTGACAAGGCAGGACACTACCACATCCTCAGGCTTTAAGTTAGGGGTCCCATATCTGGTCCTGTTCTTGTTTTGTTACACAGTAAAGAAGTTAGTACTTTATACAAAACCTGTATTTTAAATGTAAAATCTTTGTTTTATTTCATTTACAAGGGGTTGAGTGTTGGCATAACTCAGTCAGTACAGCAGTGGGCTATAGGCTGGACAGGTGGAGTCTGATTCCTATCTGGGGCAAGAGATTTCTCTCTACTCTGTAGTGTCCATACTGGCTCTGAGACCCACTCAACCTCCTATCCAATGGATATCAGGAGACATTTCCCCGGAGGTAAAGCAGCCAGAGTGTGAAGCTCACCACTCACCTCCATCTTGTACTGAGGCCAAGAATGGGGATGCTACACCTCTCTTCCCTCAAATACCTTAATTGCATGGCGCCTAATTAATTCAGCACAGGGACAACTTTACATTTACCAGTGCAATGAATTTTCTAGATGATATCAAGATGGAATGGATTTCTAATGTTTCGTAACCTGTAACCGTTTCCATCATCAGGGATTGATGTGATGAGCAATGCTGTTATATTCTGTATTTACAAACACAGTTCCTCAGGATAGCAGGCACTGGGTGCCATGAAACCGGTTACATTTATAAATACAATTTATGGCAGCATTGCTAACCACATCAATTCCTGATGATAGAGATAGTAACAGGTCTTGAAACAGTAGAAATCCATTCCATCTCGAGACAGCTGACTGCCTGACAAGACTTCACTGTATTTACTTGCCATGAAAGCTTCAAATCTGATAAGAGGTGCAATGTTGAATATTCTATAATGGTGCAGAACTGTAAGATACCTTGAATACTGACCCAGATTTATTTGTAAAAGTTACAGGTCTTTATTTGTTTTGTACAAATGAGTATCATGCCCAGAAATTAGGCTATGCATTGAACGCCATTTGTGTGTGACATTGAGCATCGAGAATTTACTTGGGGAAGACAATTTCTAGTTGCCCCTTAAGCAATCAGACATCTACTGGGTCCACTGTGTGCCCACAATATTGTTTGGGCTCATTAAGAACCTTGACCTCAACTCACGACATTAAATAGATTATTCCATGGGGTCTGATAACTTATGATGTGGAGCAAGTCAGTGTGCAAACACAACACAGCACAACAAAACACAACGAGAAAGTTATAACAGAACAAGGAGAAGATGTATGACATACTAATTTTTACATAAATGAGGAATTGCACATATTATTCCACAGTGGGCATTATAATTCCTCTTACAATTAAGAACCTGATAATTATGTAAAATTTACAGATTCATCAACACAAGAGAAAGTGTCTGAAAAATATTGTTTAATTGCCAACTGAAACTATCTTCCATCAGCAAATAGACTCTAAATTTCCACTATGAGCTTGTTACACAATTTACTTATCACATGATATATATCCTTTTGGAATACTCATGTCTCTGTGTAGTGTTCACTTTATGAATCTCTGAATCTGACTGAAAAATTTTATAGTTTTGACTATAAATGACATTACAGCAAATATATATTCAGACACAAGTACTAGTAAGCAAAACCTTGCACAACTTACTTCTCTGAGTATCAGCCATACTTGTGGGTCAGATTTTTGATTCATACAATGATTATTAATTTTTATTAAAATTAAAATGCCTTGGTTATTCCAACTGCGGCAGTGCTACTGATCACAGAGGATTTCAGAAAAATAACGGCTGTCATTGGTGAGTGATTGCAACAATTTTATTTCTGACACAAAAATGACTAACAACAGCAGCAGTACTCACCACTTCTATCCTGAGGAACTGCTTTGCATGATGGAAGCAAGCCTGTAGTAATTCAGGAAGGTCATAATGCTCTGCCGCGCAGATTAGCCCTGGGATGTTGGAGCATGTGAGTGGACAGGAGCCTGTGTGGAGGTAGTCCAACAGGATCCGGAATGTCTCCGGGTCAAATTCTATTATCGGGAACTGTGCAGCACATAGACATATATTGCAACAATTCAATGGTTTGTTGGTGTTCTTGTAAGAATATCCACAAATGGAAGAAAATGAAACAGCTAAACTGAACGAGCATTCCAGATATGACATAAAAGGGTTTGGAGGTAGTAATGGAAGCAGTTACACAGTCAATTTACTAATATTTCGTGATTCAGCTGAGTTTATCATCTTAGGTTGAAAGAAAGCCATGTAAACCATGATGATGAGTCACTTACCTCAGTCTGTGCAAGCTTGGCCCTGTCCACTTTCTGTGCATCAGCACAGACACTGAGACGAGGAACAGCAAGGTGTGGAAGCTGTGATTTCCCTTCCTTGTCCTTATCTTTGCCCTCCTTATCTGCAGGCAGACAGCATTACATTATACACTGGTACACACATACACATGCAGACCATTATCCTTGCCAAACTACTCATATAATCAGGCAATGAGTTTTGCATATAAAACAAAGCAAATTGTGAAAGAAAAGGTAAAGCTGTCCCTGTAATAGACCATGATGGTCCATAGGGTTGTGAGATGTCAAGGCTCCCACATTTTCTAGACAGCCTTATGTGATGATCGCCCTTTACCCCCCAGGAAGACTCCTGATACTTATTTCTGTTAGAGGTTGAGTTGTCCCCAGGGCCATAATGCGGCTGGAAGGGTTAGGTTAACTGAAAAATCCAATGACCTCATTGGGCATTGAACCCGCTACCGCGTGCAATGTTGTATATGTAGATACTTAAACAGAACCTGTGCCTAACTTTTCAGTTATGCTAACACAGGATCAGTTGTTATGGTAAAGAGAACAGTCAAAGAACAACAGATTTGAGGTTTAAATGGAAATGACAATTTAGATGATGATCTTATGGGTTATGGTACTAGCTACACAGTATCATAAAAGGGACTGCAATTTACAAAGAGTAAGTTGAAATTTTCCTCTCTAATAAGAGTAAAATCTTCTGGGGTGTGAGGCCATGTAGTCTGATAGATAAGCACCAATGAAGAAGTCACGTCTTCCACCCTATGATGTAGGCATATTTCTCTCAAACATTAATATCTGTCTACAAGGCTACAAAGTGTTAGCACATGGAAGATCATAATCTTAAATTTCACCATCACAAGAACATATTTCCCTTAAATGCTGGATTCCCTTCAAACTTTGTTCATACTGTTGCAATCATCTTGTATGCTTCTAGGTATTCAAGATGGCAGAGACATGAATAATACTAAAGGAGGATAAATCATATGTGCCTGTTCAATATGTGGATTTCCTTCATGTATTTCATTTTCTGTGTGTCTTAAGGCCATTACGTTCATTAATGATCACTCTTTCAATCTTTTTTTAAAACCCTTTCACTGTTAGTAATGCAATATACATCAATTGACTGTGTACTGGCCAGTTTTCATGAGGTGAGATTACAGGTTCTTGCAGTGTCTTCTGGGAAATGATGCCATGTAGATTGATAGACAGTACCAACATTTTAGAGGAACCAGCTGTTTCCATCTTCAGCATAGTAGAGATTCTACTGTCAAATTGGAAGCAGCATATTCTTCTGGAACCTTGTTACCTAACTACAAAACTATATGGAGTCACATTCAGAAGCCAGAATTATGACACTGTATGCTCCATTAAACGCTCCCATCCATAACTCTCAGTGTTTGTTTCCTTAATTACCTTCACAGTTATATTTATTTTCATTCTATGATCTGGTTTGTGATACAGTGCAGCCTTGTTGATGGATACCAACATTCTTGATGAACACACTGCTTATACCTTCACAGCCAAAATGAGTAAGATAAGAACACTGTCAGACAATACATCCTGTGAAGAGTGTAGTCTTCTGGGTTGTGGCACCATACACTTGAAGAAGAGAACCCAACACTTCTGAGAAACATTTCACATCCATATTCAGGGTTGAAGAGGAATGAAGCATGTTTCCATGGCAACAAGAATAGTGCAATAATGGAAGATATGTTTTCTGTGTGATTCATGGTTCATACTGAGATGTTATAAACAAGACCAGTCAGCAGTTGTAGTTAGTTAGAGGGCTGCTGGGGCTCAATTGTTGTGAACTGTTGCTGTTAGAAGCTGGTAGCTGAGGTTGGGGTGCATTTGGGAACCTAGAGGAAGGAAATCATCCACTGTTGGAAACCGCTACCAAGCAACGGCAGTGAAGATATGACTGTGGACACTACTGTGTGTGTGTAGTAGTAGTAGTAGTAGTAGTAGTAAGAGTGAACTGTAAGGTGTGGTCATGCGTTGTATCAAAGTGTCCAATAAACTGAGACATCAATCCAAAATCCATCCATGGCCGCAATCTATCACTTGACAAAAAATGACTATAGATTGTATTTTGAACATATGGTGGGAATCAAAATCACCACACAAGAGATCTCGTTGAACACACAGGATTTTTCTTCTGTACAGTTGCCTGCTCAAGGTATGACGTACAGCAAAGATATTTTTGTCAAAGTACAAGCATATTGCATGAGACACATGGTCACTAAGACCGACATAGGCCTGCTCCTTTGAAATGCTGGTATCCACTGATAAGACCACTCAATGTCACAATGTGAACATTCATCATCATGTGCAAAACAGCCCTTTTTGAGCCATAGCCTTCCTTAGAAGATTCTGCCAGGTCTGTCTTGAGTTTGACCATCCAGGTTTTTGCAGAGCAAGGTTTTCAGCCTTGTGACCAACCCCAACCTGGAGGACCAAACATATGCAGCTCTGACAACTTCAAATTTTATATAACTATTTTAAGTGGAGACTTTATAAATCGATTAGCACAGTGATATGTAGTGGGGATTTTTCAGAAATAACAGCAGAAATGTTAGAAATACATTTGATATCTGTATTATCTAGTTATTCAACACCTTTATTCTGCCCCTGTCCTAGAGAGCATATGTCTTAAAAATATCTTAAGAATAAGATGAAGCAAGTTCAGCAAATAAATCAAAAGGATCAGTGTCACTGTTTTAACCATCGTGGGAAGTCTTCAGAGGCAGAGATATATAGAGTTGCTAATTTCAATCCCAGTTCTTGGCTGTCAGACTATCTCTTAAATGTCTGTACGCTCCACTATATACCACATCCATGGGTGTCAGGTAACCAAGGTAACTCACCCCCCTGATTTAAAATATATCAAAACTGAAAAAAGAATGAAATATACTAAATATTAACACGAAAATTTAAAAGTATTTAATATAAGAGTAATAATTATTGTGTCCTGAGTATTCAAGGGTGATTATGTCATAAAGTTTGTAAGCACATATCCTGGCTATCCTTCCTGGAAAAATATCTTGGCAGAGCCCATATTTTGGTACCATAAAATTAGAGTAATTTCTTGATAGGAGACAAGGAACTGATTACTTCATTTTTGAAGTCACTTGTTTTTGTGCGTAAGAGGAATGGGATTTTGGTAACTGAAGAGGCATCAGTTACTTTCTAATGCCAGTCAATCAACTGTGATTGTGATAAACATTTAGATTCCATAATACAAAGTAGTCTGCTACTTTTGTAAAGCTAATATGGGAAATTCAGTGAGTTAGGATTGTCTGACATCCAAGTCCTATGACAGTACTGCTAGAGTAGACGCACAAAATCTGAGTGGGTGGAGGCAGTTATTAAGAAGAAGAGCCATAGACTAAAATAAAAAACAGAACAACCTGTGTTTGCATACTGCATAACAACTTCTGTTATTAATCCTGAGAACAGTAAGCATTCGATGTAGGTCACCGAGTCAGATTTTCTGCGCTAACTCTACTTATTTCTAGGCAGCTCACTGGAACAGTCTTGTGAGGAAGACCACTTCTTCTTGTCGTCAGCTGTCAGTTGTGAATGTTGCTTGCGTATGGACCGGCCCCAGCCAGCTGTGAGGTTGCCAAGGCGAGAGAATGCTCGCTTCACCATGGGTGAGCTAGGCACACTTTTGGGCCTGCGCAGTGAGACAACACACAGCTCCTCACCACACACACAAAACAACATAGCGCTCGTTTTGGGTTGGGGAACAGGACAACATAAAGAAGCACAACAAAAGTGAACAATAGCCCTAACTGAAAATGTGATAAACTTTCATCCTGAATCATATTAAAAGGAATGATGGTTAAAGAGTGCATTAGTGATTGTCAACGTTCACTCCATTTTATTCACATAAGAAACAAAATGATATCACCTGATCAGATAAATGAATCTTGAGTCCGAGTTCCCAACAGTTCATATCTAGTGAGATTTGAGGTTTTCACGGCTGTACTATGAAGAACACTACCTTCTGGGGTGTGACATCATGTAACTTGTGGATATTTACTGGAACTTTGGAGAAAATTACTGCTAATATCTTGAGGGTTGAAGAGTAACCCAAGAAAGCAGACAGGCAGACAGCTTGACGCTGATCATTCTGAGCCCTTATTTATTTGGATGATTATAGATGAACCTAAAATTTATTTCTAATTAATTCTCGGTAATTTAAATTTCAAAAGTCTTATGTTTCGGTATTACTGGAAATGTATCGTGATCTATAATATCGTATTTCATCGTCTGGGACGTGCAATACAGTGTTTATGTTGAAAATTTCTAGATTCTGGCAGAAACAAGAAGTCCGGAGTTCTGACATTTACGATCAGTCATAAATTTAGCTCGGGTACAGGGAACCGGACGCGCCTAAAAGGACAGGTCAGAGCTTGTTACAATTGCCTGTGAATGAGGGCCAGTATGATTGGGTTGCCTCGTTCAAGCTTCCTACGGAAGATGGGATGAAAATGTATATGTCAACACCATCTTTCGAATTCCCGGCATGGGGGTGCAAGCCATTCCACAAAAAGGGAGACTTTCACAATATTCCGAACTGAACGGACGTGACCCTTGCATGCTCCGGGACATAGCTAGCCGATAGTGTAACGCTGTAACTTAAAGCTAAGAATATATTAATTTAACAGTGTGGTGAATTAGCAGGTGAATAAACGTCAATTGGCTCAACTCTCAGAAAAACGCTTTCTTAGGCATCGCTACCCTGAGACTCATGCAAACCGACTCAGCTAGTTTCCCGTACCTATACCGATCTTCCTTAGTTTGATCTGTGAGGACAACTTCCGGTAGCCATCATACACTGTCCTAAGGTAGAAACAGGTGTAGCAGGGATAGCACCGTTCCGACTGCGCTGATACAAGCAAAGGCGGGTTGGAAAAGAGCGGTGTTAAGCTATCAGAGCTCCGCTTTGTCACTGCTTGTCTGGCTTACTCTGATCATGATGATGAAGGCAGTAAATTCTTCAGAAAAATCGATATTCGCCCACAATAATATATGGGGTCACAAACCAGAAAACTAAAGTCTGTGCAATTACTGTCATAAAAACCTGAAGGTCTACGATTACAGATTTCTTTCTTTGATATTCTTGCTGTGTTGCTCAAGGAAGAAGGTAGTTGTACTGTAATTTCAATTTAAAATATACGCCCTGCTCTAGTTCATAACTGTATGATGAATCTATATTTTGAATTAAGGGGGGCTTTTTATAAGAGTCATATCATTGCAGTGATTTATAATGCAGGACTTTATAAGCAGCAGGTTTTTCAATGTAAACAATTTAAATCTGTCATTTTAAAAAACTAGGCCTTCAATGAACTTCTCAGGCATGGGCACCAGTTGGATGGCATGGATGAAAACATGGATAGGCCCTGCCCTCGGGTATTTTAAAGAAATCAAAGTTCAAGAAATGAAAGAATTATACCAAATGTTAGTAATAAAATTATTCTTCCATCCAGAATACTCTAAGGTGATTAGCAAAAGTAGTCTAAAATGGGTTCAATGTGAGTGTCTGGCTTCCAACTTGGAAAACTGACTGGTGCTATGGAAGAAGTCCTCTTGGACCCCAGTGTTCTCAAAACTATCTTTCAATAACCAAGCTTCATTTATTAAGAGGTTATGTCTCAACAATCACTTATACACTTCAGAATGTTGTAACTATAAGCTGTCTATCACTCACTCTGGAAACTTCAACCAAGGAGCATCAGCCATATCAGATAATAATTATGAGTACATTATTTTAAAACATTATTCTTTTTTTATTCTTTTTTTTTTATTCTACTGCTTCACATATTTCAGCATAACTGTCCTTCAACTAACAGAAAACTGGAATCTGGTTCATGAATGAGTAATGTTGTGTTAATAGGTGTAGGTTCTTTTTAGGAATGCTTTATAAAGACAGTTGTGTCTTTCTTGTTTACCATTTATACACAGAAAACACTGGAATAATAACTTTTTTTAACAATTTGTGTTAAAATGATTAAGAAACGTGAATACAAATGATGGAGGAACAGATGACTTAATAAATCTGGTGGTTAATGAAGTTTTCAAAGGTTGGCAATTAAATTCATACCTGTTCAGACATGATTAAGTGTGTAGCATCTTGAAACACTGCATGTGGTAGTGTATCAGCTGTTTCTGCTATGATGTAGAGTTGTAAATGACAGTGAAATGAAAATTAACACAAAATGCAGAAGTCTCAGTACTAATTCATGCAGAATATTAAACAAGACATGCCACAAATAACAGTCTCAGTTTTGAGGAATCTTTCCATTTTTATCTGATTGAATTATTTAACCTGTACAGTGGAACCTCGTTTAACGAGCATAATTCGTTCCAGAATCTTACTTGTAATGCGAAACACTCGTTAAGCGAAACAATTTTTCCCGTATAAATTAATGTCAAATACGATAAATCGTTCCATGCCGAAAAAAATTTATGTATAACGTTTATTCAGAGAAAATTATATATACATTGTTGAGGAGCGTGAATTATCTTCATCTTTTCTTCTGTGCGGAATGAATCAACCTGGAATGCGAATTCGATATGCAGAAAAAAAAATCGAAATAATTAGTTTATTATTTATGATACATATCCAATTCTTTTTTACTAGGAAGCTGTCTAGAGACATTTGTTTTTGCCGACGCTTCAAAATTTGGTGAGAATGCGACACAGCATTATCATTAAATAAATTTGTAGCGCGCACAGCCACTGCCTTATTAGGGTGATGCTTCTCAATGTACGATGCAACAGTTTCCCATGCTTTCATCATTTCTCTTATTGCGCCAGAAGATTGTTGCTTTGCTGTTACCTCCTCCTCCTCTGACAAACCCTCCTCCACAACTTCTTGCTATGAAACACAATGCAACTCAAAATCGTGCAAATCGTTGATGTAGACCGATTGTATGTGTGTGCTAGATCAGCCACGCTCACACCTCATTCTCGCTTTTCAATGATTTTACGTTTCATTTCTGTGGTTATTTTTATTCTCTTATGGCTGTCTTTTTTTCGGGGACATTTTTGCAAGGGTTATTAAACTTTACACCCAAAAAATCACAAATAATGTGTCTGAACACAAGTTTGGAAAAATGTGTGATCACAAGCGACACTAAGAGCGGAACGAGTGCTAAACACAGACTGATGTAGCAAGCGCACGGTCCGGGACTTCCCCTCTCGTCACTCGTTATGCGAAACGTCGCTCGTTAAGCAAGTCTTTTTTTTTTTACGAATTGTTTTGCTCATTATGCGAATTACCCATTATGAGAGGTGCTCGTTAAGCGAGGTTCCACTGTATTTTACTTATTTCTCTACTAAAGTCAGTAAAACATTTATATCATGCAAACATCACTGAAAACCAAATGACCATTCTAATTAACAGGTATTCTTGGACCTTTGTTAGAGGGGCAAATTGTGTTTCTTAGAAAAGGAACCCCTAATCATCTACTTCAGATTAGGTTTCATCAGCACTGAAACCTGCTTAGAGTCTATTTATTAAAACCCAAAACAAGTGGGAATCGAAAGGCCACTCTGTAGCTCAGATTTAAAGTTTTACTGCTGTTCTAATATCTTCCTTGCATGAGCGGTAGCCTAGTAGACATTTAAGCAAGTGAACATGGAATACAGAATAATGAAAGTGAAGTTGAAAGACAAACTACCAGTCACTTGAACTGACAGAGGGACTCTTAGATTTTGGAGAACATACTTAGGACTTTGACAATGATATGAGCTGTTTTTATTAAAGGTTTTCACAAATCCCCCCTCTTACACAGATAATTAAGCAGTCCTCAAGTAGGCCAGGTCGCTTCTTTCCCACATTTTGAATATTACTTGAAGGGCTTTTAATCTTATGGCTTACTGATTCTGTATGGCTTTGTACTGGATAGTCTTGTGAAAAAAAGTTGCTTAAACTCAGCATAAATTCAGATGATTGTCTTTATGGTTTTAAGTAATTAGGATGCAATAATAATAGCAAAGATAAAGTGTGTGTGATTAATTAGGCACCAGACTGTAATAATATACAGACAGAAATATCCACACATTCTTAACTTTGATGTTTATCCATGGGGAAAGAGTTACTGATACCCACTGAATATGTGGGCCCCACAGCCAACCTGTACTCGGTAGTAAAGAGAAAAACCTGTTCCCCTCGTGGAGATCAAACCCAGCTCACCCAGTGCATAGTCTTGACATTCTATTGACTGAGCTATGCCTCTTAATTTGAGTTCAGCAATAATCTTGAATCTTTTATGCACACTACAATTCCGTCAATAATGCCTGTATTTTTATAACTCCTTCCCTTCACATATGGCAGACGTGACCACAACAACGGGCTTATGTACAGAAAACGACATGCGAACACCCAGATCGCTACAGTATAAAGATCCAAAAAGAGGGATATCGAACTATATTGGTTGGACGAGTGACTGATATTCCTAGTAGAGGTGTAAAAAAGAACTTTAAAAAATTGTAACGGAAAAATTTTAATGAAAAATAATTTAAATGAATTTCATTTAAAGTAAATTACAGCGTATGGTATTTTAACTAATGTTAGCTAAGTATTGATTATAACATCCAATATTTTAAATCACGAAATATCGAAGTTATCTGTGATGCGAAAATGTGGACATTCTGTACAGTGAA